AGTGTTGTAGGATAGTACATGAATATGTAAAATAAATACCTTAGAGTTGTTGCTATCTATAACGTAATCATCCTTTGATAAATTTGAATGACCAAGCAAGAATTAAAGTTATTTAATCTATATTTGTTACTGAATATGACATATAGGAAAGCAAATGTTATATTTTTAGCGTAATTGAACAATGTAAAGCATTATGAAGGTTGATAGCGCACTATATCATTATCTTAAATTAATTTCATTCCCTAAGGCTGCATCTCTTGATTGGCTGTTTCATAAATTTTAATTATTACTGTACACGGAACTAAGACCACATTAAAATTAAAGCAAATTTAATAGTAACTCAGTGGAATTTAACTCATTATTCCCAACTTCCTCATTTTAAAAAATAATTAGAGATAATACTAGTTAGACTATAATCGTATTTAAGATAATACTAGTTACACTATAATCTTACTTGAGAAAACATATTTATTTTGTGAGATTTTCGTGTCCACATTTAAATGGATAAGACGAAGATCAATCACAATCAAAATTTCTGTAAAGTCGCATTATCATAAGAATAATTGTAAAATCGAAAATATCATGATTACTTAAATCATTAATGAATGATTCGATCTTAATCCAGATCCAGTTACAAAATCTTTTATTATTTAAAAATGTTATAAGGTAAATGTTCAATTTTTAATATGCAATAAGGCTATAAGCCTAAAGTAATTGAAGATAGTGAAGTAATATTTTAATATATAGAAATCTGTTTGCATGTAGATTTATCCTTTTTCATGCGATATTTGCAAAATTTCCTTAGCCTGCAAACGTAGGCGAATGCTTCAGGACACAGAGTAAACGCTCGAAATAATTAATAAGCTGCAAATATCTTTCATATTCTTCCCACATGCATCACGTATTAAGTTAGAAAGCTACCTTAATGTCTCCTTCAAAGTAAAAATTTTTTCCCAAAGCGGTATTAATAGAATTTCTTTCATAACTTTTAATTCTTCCGTTTGGTGCAGTATCGGCACTAGCCCATATTAGCTGAGTAGATTACTTGCAGTCTGAATAGATTGGTAGCAAGTATGCAATTCGATGAAATAGCTAGATGTACATAGCAGAAACAATCTAAAGATTATTTACTTATAGATTCTGAAAAAACTTCAATGACATAACTTTGAAAGTTTTTGTCACAAAGTCTGCATTTAATTTATTTTCATAGTCTATCAGTGTGAACTTTCTTATAGTAAGTAAATTTCTTACGTAATTAGGACTATTAAATGATTAGGGTGTAAATTATGAAAGAGGATAATGTAAGTTAAAATTTAATTATGAGCTACAGATAAGTCAATCGTATTTAATGATAAACCTATTGCCGCTAGGCTCCTAGGACTTTTTTTAATTATGAGATTCAATAGATGTTTCATTGAATAATTAAGCATAACATTTTGGTATGCATGTAGTTATATTGCAAAATAATGCAACTGTTAATTAGCTTCTTTTATAATATTTGGTACAATTAACTATTTAGCGAATCTAATATCCTACTACATATCATTTCTAGCGAGCTGCTATCTGCAGAGTATCATCTATAATGATGTGCTACATCTACAGAGTACAGTGATTTACTGAACATTAGCATACATAGTATACTTTAACTATCAACGCAGTGCCTGATAGATTTTATGGTAGCCATAGCTTCAAAATTGCCTGTAAGTTATTTAATTAATATATTTAATTAATCAATATGAGCGATATTATCAGGAATTAGTTTCCTAGACTTAAGCGATATTTGCGGTAGCGTTGATATCAAGCAACAATAACTACCGTATTGTTGGCGCCATTGCCAGATGTGGTAATTTGTAACAAGATTCCGGTGCTTAATGGATGACTGTAAAACGTTAAGTTATCTATTTATTAAGAACAACAGATGGTATACAAAGTACTCACTTTATAGCATGTTAGTATGTCTTTTCTATGCTTAGCGAAGAAATCAATAATAGATTGTATTCATTAGGAACCATTGACATTCGATTTTAATTAATTTTAGAAATTTTTCGAAAGCTGCACTCCTCTGTTAAGTATCACTACTACCAGTAGCTAAAGAATTCACGATGTTGGCCAATAGCATAATGCTGTTCAACAATAGATTCTTACTTTACTTTCTATTTGTATTTGCTTACATTAGCGAGTAGAAGCGGTAGATTACATGATGATGTCTAATAAGATAATATTTAATTTAGTTAATTAAAAGGCCAGAAGAATATTATGGTCTACCCTCACATATTTTCCTTCCTTTCTTTGCAAAACTAACAAGTTAGCTTCAGGTATAGAATAAGTTTCTCTTCCGTTATCGTAGAATGATGCTATCACTTTTAATTAATATGAATGTCGGTAATAATTTAACGCTTTTGTTAACCATTTCATAGAAATCATCATTGCTTTAGCTTAAAGGAATTTTTTAATCATTTGTGATCATGAATATTAATACTATGGTTACATTGTTGCGTACGCGCGCATAAACGAAATTTAACTTTTATTACTGAAAGAAAATTACGGTACTATTAACTCCCTAACACTCGACATAAAATCAATAGCATTAAAAAATTGATTATTGTGATAGTTATTATCCATAATTGATAGATAAATATCGTGCTCGTATCAAAATAGAGCCAAAAGAAATTAAAAACTAATGTATTAAAGATTTAAAAATAGTATCAATATCATCCAAAGCGGGGTTAGAATTCGCGACAAATGATATTGAGAATTGAGTATTTCAAAATATGAGAAAATGTTCAATCTATAGCAGCATTTATTGCAATTTTACTGACGAAATCTTCTTGGAGTTACTGATTGTTATCGTGAGAGCAGTTATCAAAGATTGGCTTATTTATCGTAAACAGACAACTTACACGATATTCTTGAGTTTTTATAGCCATTACCGATAGTATAATCTATTCTTTAAATCTTATCATTGCATTTAATTTTTTAGTGATTATTCGATTTAAATAGGATTAGTTATCTTAGATAATACTCCTTTTAATTTATGCAATTATATAAGATTATGTAATCTAACTCCATACGTAATAGCTTTAATATTTCATTTAATTAACAAAGCCACTTGATTACAATATAATAATATTTTTATTCTGTTTTCTTCATTTAATAACATGTATTTGTTTTATGCTTATAGCTATCGTGATAGAGTTGCTTATTCTTGTAGTTCAATATAATTCTTCTTCAAACGTCATCGTTGACCATGCAGGGACTACTTTCATAATAGCTATAGTTGCTCTATTCAACCATTTGAATAGTTTTCATCTAATGTAGACAATGTTATTTATTTGATGCAACTCTATACGTGAGTAGGATCCAATTTGGTATCATTATACATCTTTAACAATTTTACATTACAAATTTTTTCAATCTAGATTTCTTTGTTTAAGAATTCTGTTAATGGTTTTCAATTGTGGCTGTTGTGTATAACTTTCATTAACTTACGTAAAACCTATTTTTAGAAAGGTTATCAGCCAAGCATTGGCAATTATGGAGGCTAATCATGCAGTTTACTGTATGCTCTTTAGGAGATTTATTTCAATTTAAATTATTAGACCTAGATCAATATCTCAGTTGGCAATGCAATGAAGATGGAATTACAAAATTTTACAAATATTTGATGATTGCCTAAGCTAAACTGAAGTGTGTATGAAGTAAAAATTAATCGAGGATAACTGACTGTAGCTGCGCTGATGATAACCGAAAGGGCGATAGCAATTAATGAAAATATTATCAAAGAATAGCTGTGTTATCTCCTAGGTGATTTTAATAATTCATCAAATTCTATGACTCTATGGCGAAATTTTGTTTTCATTTTTGAATTATCTATGCAAAAAGCATTTGAACAATAAACAAAGTAGCATTGCTACCTAAAATTATTGTATAGCTTAAAATTCTCATCAATTATGCCTATAAATGGTATTTACAGGAAATGTTTAATATTAAATCAGTTAAATTACTTCTTCATTGGAAATTGTTCGTAAATTACTCAAGAAATCATACCTGATTTACGGAATGAAGTACACAGAAGTTAAAAGCAATTCAATATAATTTATATAGTACTCTATGAATGAATAATTATTATATTGAAATTTGTAGTTCAATCAATTGTATATCTAGAATAAAAGCGTGATTATTTGACCGCTGCACTATACGCTTTCAGATCAATTGAGAATGTCAGTAGTACGAAATAATATTCATTTTGCCAAAACCGCAATAACAACGGTACTTGTACACCGTACATACTCTATTATCACTGTAATTTATTAGCATAAATACCATGTAGGTAAAATTATGACGTATTGAATTAATAGTATTGTTGCAAATCGAGGCTGGTAATCGTAGTAAAATGTAGATTTATAGGTTGATCTGCTTCATGCAGTATTCTGTCAATGGCTTGTTTATACCTATTGACATCCCTCCTTCTTCAGAAGTCTACGGCTAAGATATGGGGACTGAACTATGGTATGGAGATGTTGCTACATTAAAATACAAAGCAATTTCTCGTATAGGCTGGTAAATATGGATTAATTTTACTTACATAACTTTGTAAAAAGTATGGTCTTATCGACCAAACAAGTACATAGGAATAGATAGAAATATAAGTAAGTAATTACTTAAATGAAAAGCTAGTAGAAAAAATAACTAAAGAGTTGAGATTCTCAGATAGACGCTTGTAAATTCGAGGAGCATCGATATAAAGTAAATTTATTCATGAATCTGATGATAAGTTAATAAGGTGTAAAAATAGTTAAAGCATAGCAATGATAGGCTGAGTAATAAGCTAATAATTAACATTTTTATGATAAGGAATTATTATGGGCTTTTAGAATAATTTAATTACAGCAATTGCGTGTTTTCTATACCCTATATTCGGTAGACAACAAGATATTTTTGAGTTCAATTTTATTAAGTAGTGATTGTAAAAAAATACTTGCAATGTCTTGTACAATATATTATGCAGATGCAAAATATACCAAGACATTATTCTCCATTCTTCTTAAATACTTAAATATATTGAAATAAAACATCATGAATTATTGATAATCACACAAGTTTAACTTTATGCGACATATTAAATAAGACGGAAAAATATAAGGAAGGATTATTCTATAATTACACTGCATTGTTAATGGCTTACTATTTAATGCAAGTCACGGAATGTTTTTCTGTGTCTTCATATTAATAACAATAATAAACATTAATTTATACAGGTATCTAATTGTTTAATCTAGATGAAGTCCATTTTATGATTCTTATTGAAATAATGTGATTGGTAGATTAAGTTTTAGGATTATTATAGACAGTTTATAATAATGAAGTATTACACAGTACCAAATATACATCAATCATGTCACCATTGCCTTAATTAAGTCGTAGAATAAAGGAAGCGCTAAACTAAGAGTGTTTTGCAAAAAAAAGATGGATAGTCATTATCGACTTAATCAATTCACTAAAATCATCAGATTGTAAATACAAGAATTGATAAGATTGACAGATTTGAAAGCTGTCGGAAAATAACCACTTTCCGATCTAACAGTATTTATCCAAGATGGGACGAGGTAACCAATGAATCATTGTTCAGTTTATTACTCAAACATAATACTTTAAGAACTATTCTATTAGAGGATGCAGAAATCAATGAATGAGCAGGTTTTTAGTGGATATATTTCGGAAAAACAAAAATTAGAAGTTGCATACATACATACCTTTAGTTCAATGTTTATCATTTCTATTCGAAATTTGCTGTGAATATCTAATGATATTGTATAGTCTAGTGAGCAACATAAAAGATAGAATTAGACTTCCGTTGTTCAAATCTTAATATCATGATTATATACATTTTAAACTATGACATATAGTACCACCAAAGAAAGAAACATACGAAGCATATCAGATATAGTAATAATTGTAAAGCTTATAACCAATGTAATAAATGAGTTTTAGCCATGATGCAAATCCCTGCGGTTTGCTATCTGACCGTTCAGTTAGAGTCACTTCAATTGCGGCTCCTTGCTCGTACGCATATATAGGCACTTGGCTGAAGTTAAAACTGTGTATATATTGTTTTATTTTCATTTTAGATTTGTCAAGGATAAATCTAAGAATGCGCCTTCCTCGAGACGAAACGATAGTAAATTTGATTAGCAGTTCCCTGATCTTGTCCTTACATACTTGTACTTTAACATAATACTTTTAAAGCGCGTTACTACCATCATCATGGATAAATTAATAAGCTGTATGAAGCCACAAAATTATTTTCGAGTTATATAGTCCAGCAATTATTTCAGGTATCCTTGCCTTACAGTGCATATAGAGTTACAACTTCTATAAAAATTTTTGTCAAAATATAAATTTTTCTAGCTGTGGATCACTATGATTATTGAAAATGAGAGTCAAACTGACCACTGATACTTGGGTAATGAAACAAGTTTACGTTTGTGAGCATTGAAATGAAGGAAACATTTCACTTAGCTGCCTATTACATTAGCAAAAACCAATCAGTCGATCACATTACTTAATTCCATAAAATTAGTAAAATGTTGCATTATTTTATTTCAAAGTACTGGAAATGAAACCATGAAATGTACTGCGATATCCATACATGACAAAGCCAATTTCATATGAAATAATCGAGATATAAATATTAACAGTTCAATAAACCGAATCGATCGAAGTGTATACAATTGCTACAAAGAAAATTACATTAGTATTAAGCGGCTATACAAATATCACTTGCGCGATTTATATGACTTATCTATGCAATCTTTGCTGATCGACGTCACTCGCTTTTTCAATCAGAAAGAATCGTTTGCCACATTGGCTTTAAGTGCATTAACAAAATAACCGTGAATTAAATTCGTAAATTACCATTATCAAGATAAATGTCAAAATAATTGAATATAGTAGCCGTAATCGTGTATCCAGTTGCTGTTAAAATGCTAATACATACATTGCTTTAAATTTGATCAAAACACAAATTAAGCTATATTTGTACGAATCCAGTATACAACATAACATATGTATTTGAATGCATTTCCATTACTTTGTACACACTTCACGATAAAGACAACATTATATTAAAATTATGATATAGATCATTACAATTTAACGACAATAACAGAAGAACATCGGGTTAAACGAGCAAACATAAGCATTTGCTCAAATTGCACAATATCGGATAGATAGGTGAAGAGTTATTCAGATTATCGAGTTAAACGTAAACAATGACGAAAGTCTTTCTCAGCAACAGCTTGATAGTAATCAATTATACCTCTGTTGGGAATACGGATGGATAACGAGGTAGCATTTCATCCTTATCTTTATTTCGGTATAAATTACTGACATCAAAGTCGAGGTACCCAATACTTCTTTCAACACAGTCAAAATAATTCGGTAATGAGGCATCAGGAGTATTCTCGGCTGATGAACATAATATGCGGTTATAATTGAGCACGATTAATAAATCTCTTAGCCTTCATTTATTAGCTAGTACAACTACAATAAAAATGAATAAATTATAAATCTGTCATCAACAATTACCGTTTTGGGCCTCTTCATATGTTGGTGGTAATTGCCCATCGTATCGCAAGGGTACTGTTCCAATAATTACAGGCAGTTTAATATATTGGTTGAAGGAATAAGGAACCATAACGGTGATCTATGACCAGCAAGGATATGTGTAATTATTATTTCGATGAAACATTAATTACGATATATTACATTTTATAGTTTAGTAATATAACAAATTATTACCTTTATGAAATATTTAACCGTAATCAAGGTATTGCAATCCAAAGTTGGTGACGCAGCAGGTACTACTACTGACAAATTCGGCCAGTCGAAAACCTCATCAGGCTTGATTGGTTGGTTAGAACTTTTACAACGAAAACATTTCCTTCTACTGAGTTTATGCTCTGATGGTATAGAATTTGCAAATGCAAAATAGAATTGTTTAAATAAGCAGAATTGGTAAAGCAATTGATCCAGAACATAAAGTTGTGATAAAATTGAAGGATAGTTTATGCATCCGCAAAATATTTACGACTTATTACCTCGAGCTTTATAGGTAATTTTTTGTATAAATTCTAATTTCACGTTGTTTAAAGTTCGAGAGCTTCCGTTAACAACTTTTGTATCAAGGATTTCGATCCTTTCTCCAGGGAAGTAGGCTAACCGATCCGTACTAGCAGTGAGAATAATGGGTTTATTCTTATTTAGTAGGCTATATAATTTCCATTCCTTTTTAACAGGAGGCGGTTGTACCTATAGTTGTGAAGTACAGGAAATTAATCGCTGTCATTTGCCGAATACGATATTTTGTTCTTAAAATTATCCTTGACAACGCAATTGCGTTTTAACACTACTGTACTGTACAGCGAGAAAAAGATAATTCACGGTTGTAGGCTGGAAAGAAGTCGTCAAGCAAACGATGATCGTAATATTAATAGGGTTTTAGTAAGAGTGATACAGTTGATGAATTCTACTCTATTCTTTCAACATTTTAAGTTGTGCACATATGGTCATTGACCCGGTAAGTTGCAATATTTAATCAGTGGTAATAAGTGTATGTGTTCCGTTATCGAAATCGAGCAAAAACATAGCAACTTACATTGTATTCCGGTAAGTTGCAGTCAATAATTTCTTTTACATTGAAAATTTTCTGCGCAACTTCATCTACTTTCCATGGTCTTCGTATTCGTGCTTCCACAAAGTATCCGATATTGTTACCGTTCCTGTCCTCATATGAAGCTGGTATATTTCCATCTGGTAAGACAAATCGAAAGGGGAAATCATGCGATCCTTCATCTATTTTGGGAGCAATTTCATTTCTGTCGAAATTTTCTGAGAAAGAAATTTACAAATATCAATAACGGTAGATTGGATATACACATGCAAGAAGAGTTTATTATTCATTTATGCGTTCAAGTTGAAGCAATCTAATCCAGCTTAATAACATTTCGTTCTTGGTATTTTATTGTTTTGAATTGGCTTCTACTGGTCTATATTACTCAATATCGTCATAAAACTTGATTTACAGCCAGTATTGCATTGATTATGACAATGCAAAGCAACTACCTCTAGATCGATATCAACTGTATCTCTATGTACTAGCTCTGCCGCTTGATATAGCAGCTAATGCCAAAAATGCGACTGGATGAAATCATTCATTCCTGTTACTTGTCAGTTGATTAATGTTAGGGTTCATTTTGATCGTCAAATCACACCTGGCAGTTGAAGGAACGAAATGAAAGTGTACTCCATAACCCATAGTCCAATTTAATCAGTCTCGCTGCCCGATGATATTCTACCGTTGTTGAATCATAAAACCCATTCAAGTTCCAATATCAAGATAGCAATCCACGTTTGTTATCTACACAATGAAGTTATTGCGTCATTATTCGTCAAAGTTTAATAAAGGGCTAACTTAGAGTGCAACACAAACGTTGTCTGTCTTCTCTTGTAAATTAAACGAATACTAGAGTATGATTTTGAGTGCCAGAGATGGCTTTACCAATCTGTGATCGAAAGTCATATAGCAAGAGTGAAAAGGGAATACTAGAGTGTGATTTTGAGTGCAAGAGATGGCTTTACCAATCTGTGATCGAGAGTCCTATAGCAAGAGTGAAAAGGGAATACTCGAGTATGATTTTGCGTGCAAGAGATGGCTTTACCAATCTGTGATCGAGAGTCATCTAGCAAGAGTAAATTAAACGAATACTAGAGTATGATTTTGCGTGCAAGAGATGGCTTTACCAATCTGTGATCGAGAGTCCTATAGCAAGAGTGAAAAGGGAATACTAGAGTATGATGTTGAGTGCCAGAGACGGCTTTACCAATCTCTGATCGAGAGTCCTCTAGCAAGAGTGAAAAAGGGAATCAACGATGCAGAAAATGCAATCGATTATGTCAACTCAAACAAACAAGATTGAAAAATAGATCAACATTAAAATGATTGATGCACCGTCATGGCCAAAACTACGTCATCACCAACTGCATCATTTCTCTACTGCTACTGCAATCTAATTTAACCAAGCGCAACAACACTCCATTGACTGTAGCTAATGATGGCATTGAACCACTCATGAATTCAAGGCCACCATCACGATGGGACTGTTAATACTATTTTAAATGGCATTCTATTGGCGCCAGGATGCATCACAATCATATGATCGTTTTGACGATATCGACAGGAAATTTACCGGTTATAGTGTCTCCAAGCAGAATTGCTTATGGATTGATTCTACTGACTGGATACTGCGATGTACAAAACAATGGCGTAGCGTTTAGGCATTTGCGCTTTTGTGCAACCTGACAAAGAAAACAATTCGCAATCGCGATGACAATCAATTCGTTGGAAACTGGTTAAACCTGTCATGGACTACCTTTGAACTTTATTTTTCCTCCATAGCAGCTACCATCGCCAGTTTTGGCAATGAAATATGGTGCTATAATTTGATTTTAATGAAATTGATTCTATCAGAAATGAGTTAAGAGAACCTGTCTACTGATCGCAATTTTACAGTGGTGATCGTTTTGCTTTGCTCTCACTGCCAGACTAGAACAATTGACACAACAACTTGCTTAGAGTAATATTGTAGTATTGATCTATTCGTATCCAATCATAGCATAGGGGCTTAGAAATTTTTCAGACCTGAAAATAGGATTTTTCAATCGAATTGATCGTGTGTTGAAATCACTGGAATGTTTCTAACTCGTCGATAGCACGATTGTTTCCATGTTGACCGACTTATCCTATACTCCAGTTAGGACAAGTGCTATACAAGTCACTAAATGATGAACACCAACTTTGCAGTAAATTAATATAGAAAAATACTGACGTCAAGATATGCTACTGTTTCATGTTATTATAATTTAAAAAGCATACGTCCAACATCGGAACATAACCAATAACAATCATAATTAATTACTGACCAGGCTTGGTCTCCAAAACTCGTTATAATTTACAATGGTAGACAGCGACCAACAAACCGAGTTTAGTCGTTTAGCATTATTTCTCCATGGTATGCATTAAATCGGCTATTGAACTATTTGTTTGCCCCTCCATGCTGTCGGGAATTGTTCATAAGAAATGATAAACGATTTCAAGGTAGATTCTTGAAGGGTTAAGGAAAACGAATACTTTTGTCAAGTATTGTTGACTTAACTATTTACAGTATCGAAGTGGGCTTACCCTTGCAATGGATGATATCTTACTTTTGATAAACGGAATTCATGCCTTATCCCTACATGGAAGAATTTAACTGATCTTACTGCTGGCAATATAAGCGGTAGTTCATGCTGTTCTATTGACGTCTTACTAAGAGAATAGGTTGAAGAGATTGAAGTACTTCCCAATTTGTCTAAAAAGGGTCAACTCTCTCGTACACATGAAGATTTTGTCTATTATTGATTCCATGTACTGTACATTCGTACGATTGCATTAGGATCAAGTCGATTGCAATTTCACATTGTCATCCAATACTGCATCGCGGATGATACAAAGTCAAAATGGAACAGTGAACGCATCTTGAATACAGTAGAGTAGAATGATTTCTAGCTTCCTTGTTCATGAACTCTGTCTATTCGTGCAAGCAACGCTGTTGGCAATTGATTTTAATTTTAGCTTAATGTAGGGTAGAATCGTCTAGTCGATATTTGACTTTGATGGTCAAAAGCAAAAGGATGTTACACAACCTACCTTTACCGATGAGTATCATGACATCGCTATGAAATAGTTCTTCATCTCGATGAGTGGTGGTGCCGTGACCAGTGTGATTGAGTTTTAATTTACTTTGTGAACGGCCGCATAATTTGAGGCGAAGAAACTTGAGCTGTAGAGGTTGATTTAATTGGAGGTGAACAACACCTTCAATCGGTTGTCCAGGATAAAACACCTCTTGATCATCAACGAGAGATATTTTGAATATTTCTATTTTGACCATTCTTGGAAAAAGATGTACAATGATGAGTGTAGTAGTCAGGTAAACGCTAGCAAACGTCCAAATGGTTGTACAACGTCGTGTCAACAAACTTGTAGGCTGCCAAATTACGCTGCAAAAGAGATTGCACGCAGTATACTTGTATTGATTGCTAATCTAGCGATCAAAATAGAATTTCACCTTGAACAATCTTGAATTAGAAATGGCAGAGTGAATGACTTGTGTCCAAGCTTTTCCCTCCTACAGTCCCGTCGTTCCTATTTAAGACTAAAATCGAAACCAATCACGATGACAAATAAGCATTCAATACCCATCTACAGTACTACGATCGAGGTGGCGATTGTTCCTAACAGCAAACTGGTATTCAATGAGATTACGTGCAAAAACTGGATGGACGAGATCGGACCGTCTGTAGGATATAATACGCAACCAAGGTTGCAATCTCCCTTCAAGCGATGCTCTTCTGGCTAGACTAGTTGGATTTTGCCCCAATATCAGCGACAACTAGGTGTTCCTTTGGCTATCTCCCAATATGGCGTCAAAAACCGCTATTAATTAAGTGAATAACACCGTCTTACCCAATCCAACGGTCTGCTGAACACAACCAGCTCCCTTCCGCTAACCCTAACCCGCAGCCTAATAGTACTGTATGTACGTGCTGTACTGTACAAGGGGATTTGCTGACAGGTTGGAAGCATTACAGTGTACAGTACAGTAATATTATACTGTAGAATAGAATGTACTGTACTGTCCTGAAAGACTGGAATCAGCCCAGCCAAGTCGTTTTGAAAGGTTTTCCATTCGATGGAATACCTCCAAGTTTTCTAGATACTTCTACACTACAAGTCAATGACAGAGACGAGAAGACTCAGCAAGATCACCAGCTGTACTGTACTGTCCTAAAAGACTGGAATCAGCCCAGCCAAGTCGTTCTGAAAGGTTTTCCATTCGATGGAATACCTCCAAGTTTTCTAGATACTTCTACACTACAAGTCAATGACTGAGACGAGAAGACTCAGCAAGATCACCAGCTGTACAAGACTGGAACCAGCCCAGCCAAGTTGTTCTGAAAGGTTTTCCATTCAAAATTTTTCTAGATACTTCTACACTACAAGTCAATGATTGAGACGAGAAGACTCAGCAAGATCACCAGCTGTCAATAGTGTGAGTGCGTCAGCACTATCGTCGCACTGTACTGTACAGTGTACAGTACACTAGAATAAATGAATACAATGTACTGTACAATACTGTACTAAAACTACTATACAGTACTGTACAGTGTGCAGTACAGTACGGCAATGTAAAGCGCAGAGTTTTGTAAAAGGATCACGCTTATCGATATTTTATATCATATATTCATCATTATTCTTGTTGACATTCTAAATTCTATCATGTCTATAATTAGCTGTCCCCATAACTCGGTCTAGTTCCCAAGGAAATGAAACTTATTTCAACGCTCTGAAAGATTAAGAAAGAAAACACTGACAGCTTTCATACTGTCGATTGTGGAGAATATACAGTGAATAAGGTCCACATTCCATTTCAATAGCCCAGACCAAGGTGCTTAGGAAGTGAGACTTACTCTAACGATCTGAAAGCTGAAGAAAGTAAACACTTACAGCTTTCATACTGTACTGTAGATTATGGAGAATGTACTGTGCAATGATGGTCTACATTCCATTTCTACAGCCCAGACCAGGGTAGTTGTGCTGTCTTCAAGAATGGTGGATAGTGATACGTACGGTGTGATGCACACGTACAGTAGGCTAATATTGCAATCACTTATGATATTAATAATATGGATATTCTTAATTCTATTCACAATCCATCCAAATGAAATGAAACTTACTCTAACGATCTGAAAGATTAAGAAAGAAAACTCATACAGTTTTCATATTGTAGATTATGGAGAATGTACAGTTATGATCTACATTCCTGCCACAAACAGCTTTGCAACAAGATAACGTAATGTACGATCTATAAGTCAATTCCTTGAACCACGTATCAAGGAACGACTTCTTTACTATTAGGAACACTTTTACTCTACTAGCAAACTACACAAAGACTTGGACGCTTCGTATTTTACGTTAAACACTCAGTGTAAGAGATAACGTTATTACACTTTATATTGCGTTTATATACTCGTCCTCAATAGTTCATGAGTCATAACTTAGAAGTCAACTAAAATAAGGACAGGCTAACAGAATTATCCTAACATAGATATTTTTACTCTCATACAGCATATAACACTGCCACAATTCCATTTCTATAGCCCAGACCAGGGTGTTTGTTTGTGCAGTCTTCGAGAATGGCGAATAGCTCTACTTACGGCGTAATGCACACGTACCCTATGCTGATATCGCAATCACTTTTTGTATCATAGAAACTGCTTCCAATGGCATTTAAGCAGACACCAGTCTCCACGAATATCGAAACTAGAACTCTCTTTATTTCAAAAGTAACTCGCTTTCGTAACTCCTATCAATTCGCGAGTAGCTACAGCATATACTTGTCTATGGGTATTAATACGGATAGACAATTTCACTTGTCGTATAGTATATTCTTATATCGATATTAGTATGACTTCAAGCTCTACTTGAAAATAAGTTAGAGCACGCATACAACATAAAATTTACCATGATCAGAACACGATCTGACCTTGGAGTACTCTTATAAATTAGGTATCTCACTAGTTGCTAACAATCTATATATATACAAGTATAACAGTACTCGTCGCGACAGGGGTAGCGTGACAGTCGACAATGTACTCATATTGCGTCGAGTACACCATGAAGAGAAGAATTCTATCTACTTTTTTAGACGCAATGAATCACGCAGTACGTAATTGTCATGGAGATATCGAGATGTAAGAATTTCGAACATCTCTCTAGTACAGTACAAATGCGCTTTAATTAATCAATTAATACGATATCATAAGCAAAGCATCACTCCGATAATACCAAATCATCGTTACGAATTAATCCTAACAACGATACGGTGTACGAACATACTTATGCCTTTATGACATAAATTCGAAAGAGTTAAAACTATTCAGGCATTTACATTGTGAATAATGACGACATCAATATGTTATGCATTTACAAAGTAAAGAAAGTCTCATCAGTCTACTCCATTACAAATTGAAATTTTCAACAGTTATTATCATAGTTACAAATATTTAAGTTTTCTTACTTCTGTCGTAGTGTCTACAATGACATAGGTTATACTGTATATGATAACCAAAACATCGTTTCTAGCAGAAATTAAAGCATGTACTGTACACTGTACAGCTGTTTTCTTAACATTAATATAATGAAATCAAAAGAACGCTATGTGAATATTGTAAAAAAACAACAATTATGCTTTCAAATAGTGAAATATACTCATGTACACAATAATCGTATAATTAGATATACATTATATCATTACAGATATGTATCATTTTATATATATTGTAAGTATCGACGGAGCTAGTACTGTACAGTATGTCAACGCTTGCAGTAATAATTCTTATGCCCATAGAATTTAGTGGTTGAAAACATTGATAAATGTCTCTAGCATCAAATTATAACCGTGCGGAGCAATAGTCATTAATTAGTGCCAATTTTAGACATTCAGCACTAGCCTGCAACAAGAAATTTTATAATGGACACTAGTAACAAATACTGAGGCAATTTTAGTAAAGAACATGCAACCTGGAGCTTAATATACACGACAAATTGTACAAAAACAGTACCAATACCGTCAATGTATTTCATATAATCTGTGACAACTTAATTACCACTTCATGATAACATACATATAGCGTAAATCGTAAAATACTTTGATCGGAGGGATGGCTCTAAGTTTATGTATTAGATATATGCATTAAAAGGCTTTTAGTATCACTTTACCTACATTATATTCCGCTATAATAAAAAAGCTTTTCCTTGAATCACTGCTTACAAGAATACAAACGGAAATTCTTTCCGAAATAGCAGCGACCATAAAGAACATTAATTTAATTCGAGAACGCTACGCGTAACAGTTTCCTTTTTCATGGTCAACCATACGAAATTCATAATTTTCAAATGACTCCAAGCCTAGTAATTTAAATTGAATTGCGATAGATTGTATTTGAATTTTGCAACACGAATTTGCAGACGAAGGATAAGCAATCTCTTCCATTATGTAACAGGATGAAAAACTGGATATAACGGGGTAAAAAGTGTATCACCAACGTAATCGCCATCTCCACCTTTGATGTCAACCGTGCCATCTATACAAGGTTCATATGTGGGCGGAGGAATATCAGACGCATCGGCGAAGTGATCTATAGTAAATAAAAAAAATATAAATTTAACGAATGATAGGATTAATACGCATAGTTAGTAGATCTATGAATTTTTTAAGAAATAAAAGAGCTCTCAATACCGCGGATAGTATCGTGCAAGGAATTACTCGAAGGCGATGTCTGTAGCTGATTTTGTGATTTGTTGCCTAGTTGTGCATAGCCTAAGTACAATTCGATAAAAAATACGTGTAGTTACACTGATAAACGACACCATAAATATAATAGAACATGATGATATTGCATGTATGCCTATCATAATTTAAATAGATGCACCTGTATATTGTAATAAAGGCATTAATACATGCATTTAATTACCTGCGGCGCAATAAATGCAAGAGTCTTCTGTGACTGATTGATAAGCTCGGTTGACTGGAGGAGCTGGATCTTGCTTAGCGTTAGTCTCTTTAGCAACAGCAGTTTGTTTCATTGCTATTGGCGTAATTGCATTATCTAACTGCGAAGGGCCTAATTCTTGCAATGGTGACTTACTTATACTGGGGCCAGCTGCGGCGGCTGCATTCCGGGGTAATCCAGTTTTTATACGAATAGGAATAGTTCCAACAATAACAGGAAGATCTATAGTGAGATTAGGCTCCATCGGAACCTTTACATAAACCTAAATAAAGGATAATTGCCATAACATTTAAGAAACACCTATTAAGAATATTTACTACAGCATATATATACATACTTGTTATTCTTTAAGGATTGATAGGAATATTGGCTATTCCGCGAATTATTGCATTGCTAAGTAGATCACTTACCCGCAAAACATATTCTACTTTCAAAATTTTCGATAAGGTATTCGTTGGAGCAATACATGGAATATTGATCTTGATATTTTCAAACATAAGCTTTCTATGCGGCTCTACGGCTTCATCAAAAGACATCTTACAGTATGATTTCTCATCAATACTTTTGTGGCCTTTGCAGCATGATGAAGAGGGAGACAAAAACATTTTATCATTCCATTTAAATATATAAAGCAATTCATTGCCTTATTCCATTTCAAATTCAATTACTGGTATACGCCTTACGTAAATATTTTTCAAGAATCGCTAACATAATAACTTTAATTCATAAGATACTTGCTATGCAGTGGCTTACCCGAGGCCTTTGTCCTGACAATTTTCTTAAAGTCAATTTTGATGCCATGTAACGTTCTACTAGAACAATTATCAACTTCAGCTTTTATCAGTACAAGATCTTCACCTGAGCACACAGCCTTTTTATCAATCCGACCAGTTAATTTTATAGGACCTGATGCGCAACACCAACAACACAAGACAACCTCATTTTCGAGAAGTTCCGGTGCTCCCTGGCATTAGTATACGAATAAAATAACATATCTATTTAGTCAAAGTTTGTCGACAACATTTTGGCAAGACCCTAGCAAATACTTCATCCATTTATTAATTAAAATCGTTTTAAATATGTTTAACAACATGTACTTTTCATACTAGTTGGCTGAGAGAGTAAAATTGCATTACCTTCAGATCGATTCTATTGCAATCTACGAGTTCGAGAACAGTAATTGCCTTTCGTGCTTTAGGTTCGTACTTTTTCCATGGAACGTGAATAGAAGCTTCGACGAAATAACGAATATAATTACCCTTCATACCTTCATAAGTCGATGGCAGTTTAGTTTTCGGTAATTTAAAACTAAATTTGTAATCGTAGCGTCCTTCAGGCATTACTGGATACTGTTCATTTTCACGTTGCTCTATTCGTTAAAGGTTAATTATAATATAGTTAGTCAAAGCAAAACCGTTTACTAACTACAGTTTTACATTTACATCCATATCGCATTTCTGATTTATTGATTGTTCAAGTAGAATCAACTTTGAAGCCGAATAAAACGTGGCCCACATAATTGTGCAGCATTACTAGTCGCAGATTGTTTCCTACAAAACCGCATAACACCTCAGGCTGTAGAATGCAATCTATATCTTCAATAAGTTTTGAGTATTAGTGCTTGCGCGAATTCGCACTTCTCTACTGGATCGTCATCGTCATTGCATTTACCAGTAAATGATGCATATTATTATAACTTAGTAACTAGTCATCATTGGTGATAATATACGTAAACAGTCCACACCAAAACCTTCACCCTTCTAATGCTGAGTACTATCCTTAATTTACAGGAATTAGAATCAAACTGGCTAGCCAATATCGCTAATGGCTGCATTACCGACTTTAGCCGTAACAGATACATGATTACAGTTTAAAATTGCCATGTATCAATAAAATCAATCAATCCAATTTTTGCAACGTGTCATTTTAATTATGCAGTAACATTTGCAGTTGAAGATGTTCTGCTACCGAAATTGACTTCATTAGCACAATAACACCAGGAATCACATCGCTAAAATTTAATTAGCCTTTGATACGCGGACTATGCAAGATGAATTAACAACCCTAAAATTGTTCAATAGTTCATGGAAAATTGTGGCCGGTAAAGAGTGATTAAGCTAACGTTTAAATAATGGCATGAAGCATGAACTACTGTCATAGAAAATGGTTATGTATTCTGCTCATTCACAATAGAGCATCAATTATCATAAGGCTAAGAGTGATTTACGAGTATTTTGTACCGTTGCATTTCTTATATAACAGTATTTCATTGCCACCAATAATGAAATAATTCAGCGAAACCGATCAGCGTTATACGGCCATTCAAATAATGCAGTATTGTGTAGCCTCGTGAATCCATATTGGTTACACGCCACACAGTTATTATGATAGGATTGAAATTGATTACATAGTAAATTGCCGACTATGAAATTGTAGTGCTCGCCTTGCATGTGATAATCGTTCTAGTGCAGAAATTTGTTGATGACGGGATTCATGCTATGCCAGTTAACAATGTAATTCAGTTTAGTATCGGAAAATAATCCATATAAATGATAACTAATGCTTATACGGTTCCATGCGATTAATACAAAACAAATGTACACATCAACTGGACAATAGTAAACAATGCTATAAGAACAAGACCTTCATTACAGGAAAGGATCAATGATTTTGGTCAAGAAATGTACAGCAATAAAACGATATTGCTGTAGAAAAAGGATTTCCTGAGTGTTTTGATGATCTATATTGCAATACTTCAAAAAGTTCGTTATTTAGTGTTTGGGGGCGAATAAATAAAATACCCTTTATACTGTAAATACGTCAATGTTGATGAAAGGATATCAGCGACACTATGCTCTTTTACATAACGTAAGCTTTGAAAATAATTTCGATAGAGATATTGTAATCTCATCAGGCTAAGACGCCATCGATGTAAGTTTAAATTTGGCCAAGTTTAAAGCGCGTTCGATTCAAGACAAAACGTTGATAAAGCTTTATATTAAAGGAAAAATAGTTTCTATAGCTAACTACTGCATAATACTTGCTGCACTCACATCTATCTTTGTGGCAGAGCCCAATTAACGTTACGATGAAACAATAGATAATGTACTCCAATCTAAAATTTAGAAAGAGGGTGTCTGCTCTGTCTATTATCGAATATATAGATTCTTACTACAACAAGTTCTTGGTAACTCTAACTTTAAAATGATCTGCTAACTTTTAACTTCAACACTACCTATTTTATGTTGAAGAGAGCGGCAATCAATAGACAAAATACGAGAATTGTTTTGAAAAGTAAATGTACATTGTCAGTGCGTGATAACATAAAAAGAGTCGATCATGCAATCTTCCTGTGTTTCGTAGTTATGCTTACTGGATAGTAGACGGTTTGTTGAAAGCAGTAAGTACGCCAATTGCTCTGAAAGTACGAATCATGATCGATTTCAGCAATACTGTAGATTTGCCGTATTGCATCACTACCGGTAAAAAAAAATAATATGTTGCGTACATGACAAGGAGCAAAAAGTCGTATACTCGTATGCTGTAAAAGATTGGTTTTTTCCTATTCTATTTATTGGTTTAGCGATCAGCATCATTTCACAGCACTCAATACACAGGCAGAATAACTTATTTACAAGCAGACTTCATTATTGACATACCTGGACCAAATAGTGTTACCATTTTATCGATTACTTTTTCTTCGTCATATAATATCTTGGTTTCATTACCATCTTTGTAGCGTATATGAGTGCAAGCACCACCGTACATATGCACCTTCACCGCTTTTAGCTTGATTGCTTTGGTCAAAATCAAGGTGATGGTGCCGACAACGGTTTGACCAGGAAAGAAGATGGGAGGATCTTTCTCAATATTGACTACGAAAGACAGTATCGTTGGCATGCCGATATATCCAATAGCGATAACGTATAGTTGTTGTAGAGTAAAAGTTTCGAATGCACTTTGTAATGAGGTAGTTGTTGCGACCTCAACGAGAAGTCTAACTTTGCAAACGAAAGGATAGTAATAGGACCACTCAAGGGAGTCCTTATTCAGCCAATTTAAAAGGTTAACAACGAAATAACATTGACGATTGTTACCCAATGATGGAATGGCAAGTGATCCCAGTTACAACACAAAATGACAACGCTGCGATGTAAAAGATTTGCTATTACTCTCACCCACCATGCAAGGAAATGTTTATCCTGGTGGGTTTTCTTCCTTTCACTATTGCTATGACTGGAAGTCAAATAATGGACTGACAGTCACCGATTGCCGTACTGTATAGTAAGGTATACTATCATGCCAGCCTGTATGTCTTGTATAGAACGTGATGCATTTTGTCCAATACGTTTACTGTCCACTTGACAGTCTGTAGAGACAGTGCTGCAATCGGTCACGGACTAACGTTAAATGGATTGTCTATCATTGGATACTGAATGAAATGAACTGCTAGCAATACTGTATACTGTACATTGTTTTATCACACAAGCAAAAACGAGTCATTTCTTTTGCCTCTGCAGCAGTTCTGATCGTTCTAATCATGCAGGTGGAGTAAAATCCGCCATGGTTCTATGACTTCTACCTGATGGAGGTCAAAAACAAAAATGCCATTATGGGTGCTATGAACTCCAGTACAGTACTGTGCAGTACAGTACAGTACCATACTGCCCACTTTACAGTACGTTGTACTGTATGCAACTGCTGGACAGAAGTGCGGAAAGTATACGCTGCGCCACTAAGGTACAGTACTGTATTCGACGAGCGTGTAAAATAATCCATACTGTCACAGTTAATATATCCTTTCTTTCGAAACTGGCGATAGGAGTGCAATTGCTTTTTCTGCCATTTAGCTACAGGATCGACAGGGCCACTTTGGGCAATCAACAAAATTACTGTATCGATATGATGTCGATCTGATAAAGCTTGGTGTTGATATTGTACATTAGTAGTTGTAGTGCAGCCCCGACTATAGCTTAGATTACGATCCAAGATTTTCGGAGAATCGTTTAAACTGTTTGCGTCTGCACTGGCAAGATGTGATTGTCTAGCTAAAAAGTATTCTGTTACGAATTATATTATACAAACGTGAATTTTACTCTAATAATTCAGATAATCAGATAGTCCTTGGTAGACGTTAGACGAACCGAACATAGGTAATACAGTAAAATTGACAAGAAACTGTACTTCTTGATTTAGTGTTGAAGTTCACTTAATCATAGCAGTTTAGTACGGTGATGGCGTGATTGCTTAAAAATGAATTATACATTCTTCGTTATACAAACATAATCAAAACGAAGTTGCAGAGCGGTTTCAATAATTTCAATGGAGTGCTAGTCGAGGAACATCTAAAAGGTGTTGTAGTGTTGTACTGGTACTCTCTCCGTAGTCCAAACCTCTTTAAAATAAATTTTGACTCCTACATGCTGTTAATTGCAAGACTAGCTTAGATTGACTTGACTGCGTATCTCCATACCCACAAAAATGTGATTGTGTCAGAATACGTATGGTATGCAACACAAATAGACCACCTTTTATCAATAACACAAATTACGCGCAATAGCTCAAATAGCAAAAGCTTCTCTAGAAAGAAGGAGATTACAAGCGGAATATGCATCTTTATCCGTACTAGTAAATAGAAATGATAATAAATATAAATCTATTTGAATACCGAATAAAACAAGGGGTTTATAAGCAAATGGTACATACGTGTATAGTAGTTCGAAAATAGGGAGAGAAATGTAACGTATGAAATCACCTTCACGATAATTTAGATTTAATAGTAACCAAGATACTGTATTACTTAGTTGCACCTGTATTGGCTGTTTGGTAAAATGTTTGCATTTTTAGGCAAACCATTTTGTAGAACAGCTCATTTCCACATTGAATGTGTAATCAAGCTAGTAGGAGCAATAACTAGATGAGATCGTAAGAATAAAACTCTTAATGGCGTACTTCAATGTTTTTATTTAGTCATTCTGTGGTACAAGATCCTTCATTATCAATTTGTACCTCAGTGCATCATTGACTGAAACAATTTTTCCCATCTGTCATGAAGTGTTATTTTAGATAAGTTCTGCATAACATAACATAAACGGATAGCCCAAAGCTACCGTAAGCTATGATATTAGGCTGTAATGAGCAATAAAAATTCTATCTGGTAAAGTTATTTAATCTACAAACTCCAGTTTAATAATTCAGATGAAATCATTCTTTTCATAACGTGTACTAATAATCACAAAAATTATCATTATATAAATTTAATACTGCTATTTACATATGTCTTAGAAAACACGTAGTATAGCATAAACTTGACTTTGGAACGTCATTTACAAATATCAACTGCAAATTAAAAATTTTTTGAACAATGTCACAGAATTTTAATACAGATATATTTAATTCACTTCGTATACTTTAAAGAAGTATAGCATCAAGAAAGTGCTTCTGTCTTAACTGCCAAAATATTCATGTACACAAATTTGCATAATCTATAGGTAATGTTGAATAAGATAATTAATCTAACAAGCTAGCTATTATTTGAATAGATCGTTAAATACAGTTTTGTTTTACCAAAATGTAGAATGGATAGCGGGTAAATTTAAAATTTTCTGTCTTGAATTAATTATATAATAATATATTCAGTTGATTAAGTTAAAGCACTACATAAGACACTGGAATTCCGTTTGTACTGATTTTATATCCTAGAATCAATCTTCTAGCAACGGTATAAAATTGATAGAAATTAAATCTTTTCAATTTTAATCTAATAAACATCTCTATTCATTATTTGTCGTATAAATTTATTAGATAATTAATCAAATGAATAAACGTATGGATTTTATAAGGAAGTAACGAAACAATATAACTGTTTTCTTGATGAAAGGATTTTGATTGAATTATAGCAGTATTAACGTAAGCTAGTTGGAATTGCTTTCTCGAAATCGATTCATATTTGAGTTGTATTAGTGGTACTAAATCCGATAATAACTATTTGATTAAACAAAGACAATCAATAAAGTATCCACAGGCTAAAATCAATAGCAGGATATCAATGATCTGGCTGACTATATCAGCGAAATTACCCTTCATCTTTAATATATAATATTTAAACCTTTCTTTTAGACTTTATGTGATTTTACCGGATTGTAATATGGATACTGCGGAGTATAAGAAGAATCACCAACTAATTCACAGTCGGGAAATCTTTCAGTCTTTAAATCAACATGACCTTCAACACAATTTCTATTAGGAAGACTTAAGTTTGTAACGGTATCAGCAAGTTCTTGTTGTTGTTCATGTGTAGCATCTATTTATAAATAATGATAAAAATTTTCTATTATTATATTTTATCCTTCTTCTTTACAATACCTTAAATTTTATTAAAAATATGCAACATCTTAGGTTATTTAAAGCGAACAATATTTTTTATCGTATTTTAGTTATTATTGTGGCTTCTGCATAAGCTATCAAATACTGAGAATTTGAAGTAAAATTCTTATTCAGTTTTATATCTACCTTATGAAGTAACTGGTACTTCTCTAGTATTTCTCTCGTAGTTTACTGTACTATACCAGTTCAGTTTATTATTGGTACAAAATTTCGAAAAGTGAAACTCTTTGACTAGGATTTGAAAGCATATCCTTCTCTATTCTATTGTACTACAGGTTTCTCATACAATATAATATAGATATAGCTACTAGAATTAAAATGATTTCAAAAAGGGAGGAAATAGAGAATAGAATATAACCGTGAAATTTGAAAAGATTTTTTCATCTTTTAATTGTTTTCGAGATAGAACATAAATTATATTATTGCAAGGTATCCACAGATTTTGATAAATAGAAATTTAGCTTGGATTACGCATGCTTTTTTTATCAATATCCCTTGAGCGTATTATAGATTTGATATTTCACAGTAACAAATGCATTAAAGTATAGAGAAGTAATGTGTTTGCGTTCGAATTAAAGATAGAAGATGGGATTTTATTACACCAAATTCATATAGAAGGGAAATAGATTGATTTTTAATGATTAAACAAAAGCTGTAGCTAATTTTCTTTTAATCTTTTTGGTATAAATTAAGATATTGCTTTTACTAACCAATAGAAGATTTTCTTGAGCCCGGTGCAGAAACTGATGATTCTATCGGCGGTAGACGTTTGAATGAAATCGTTGAACGTCTCTCGTTTGTCTCTGGACTTAACTCACTAAGTCGAGGTAAGACACTAATCTTCTGTGCTTCGGGTAAAGAGAGATCCAATGCTGGATTATCAGTCTTCGCAGAATTTTGTTGCTCCTTTGAATCATCTTCTGTGGGTTGCTGCTCATGTTTATCGACACTATTTAACAATTCACGTCTGGGAATTGTTCCTATTTCGATTGAAAATCGAACTTCTAAATTTAACCCAAAAGGAACTATCACTTCAACCTATACATATGGTATTATAATAACAAGTTTGAAGTTAATCTTAAATTTTTCCTGAGAAATGAAATATTCTATCACTTTTTTAATAGTTCGATAATTTGATGTTAAACCATTCAAATTACGTTTAATAATTTAAAGATATATTTCGACAAATTTAACCTTTATGAAGTATTCTACTTTCAAAATATTTGATAATGAGTTTGTAGGGGGTAGACAAGGAATAGTGATACTTTTATCATTCCAAGTAAAGCTGCAACCCTGTTTAATAGTTTCGGATTGTGCTAAGGAAGCGTAAGATTTCTGTTCCACGCGAACATGACCTAACAATAATTCGCATTAATTACTAATTCGGCATAAAATTTAAATACATCTCAACAACGCTATTATGCAATAAATACGCATATTCAGGTATTTCCACTAATCTTTAATTAACTAATTAGCTATTACTTCATTCAATAATACTGTAGATAATATACCTTTCGCTCTTCGAGTAACCATTTGTAGTAAGGAAATTGCTATTCCATTCATATTTCTGTCTGTATAATTTTCAATTTCAGCTGTTAATAGAGTTACTTTTTCCCCAGGCACAAAAGCTTTTTTGTCGATTGCTGCTCGAATAATAAGTGGTCCTGACTGGCAACACCAACAACATATGCTTTTTTCATTCTCTAGCGGTAGCGGAGGTTCCTAATTTATAACGTTATGGAAAGAATGATTCACATCATAAATAAATATGACTACTGCTAACATGTAAAAATTGCTTTCATAAATTGCATGATAAACTAGTAATCGCTTTTCTATAATCTTAGTAAGCTGGTGTAAATTACTCTCAACAGTTTGATATAGTTAATATTAAGAATTTTAGAGCTTCATTATCTAAACTGACAATGACTTACTAGTAGGTAATAATGACTAAGTAGTATCATTGTTGGTATTAGTGAATGAAAAAATTTTAGGTAATTATGGATAGCAATTGTTAAATATAATTTTACTTTTGAAATAACTTACCACAAAGTTAGGTGCATTACAATCAATTACTTGAAGAAATGTGAATGGTTTCTTGCATATTGGGGGCACTCTAAGCGGTAACTCTATCCATGATTCGACTAAATAACGAATAGAGTTGCCCGGTTGGATAGACTCAAAAGTTGATGGAAGAATATCAGACGTTGGTAACCGAAATGCGAATGGATAACGATATTGTCCAGCAAGTAAAAGATGATTCTCAAGATTCTTGTCGTTACGATCTAGTAAACATTTCAGAAGACAGATGTTTAAGGTCTCTGTTGAATGGAATCGAAATTACTTGCTTTCATGGTATCAGAATAAATATAATTCTGGTCTAATACTATGTTGCCATTTCAACACATTACAAAATGGCAATTTATGTAAGCTAAACCGTATCAAAATTTAATCTATACGGTCAATACATAAAGTAATTAAGAATTTAGATAATTTGTAACTTCTAATCTTATTGTAAAATCAAATATTAATGAGAAATTAGTACAGATAGATTTACAATTGATTACCCATTTCTACGATCAAGCAAGAATGTAAATGAAACAATATCTTAATTCCATTTCGAATAGCGTACATTTACAGATTTAATTCAGTGTCTTTAAATTTTCACTAAAGCATACTCATATCTACAAAATAGTTAGATCAGGTTGGTATTACAGTCTCATTAATAAAAAATTTCAGAGATATAATCTGCTATACCTTAACTTAAGAAAATAATAGTCAATACAAAATTAATAAGCCATCGAAAAATGTTGTACTATGGCAAAATAGAAGCAAACTGAAAGTAGCTTAAGGATAGTTATAAGGAAAGTTATAGTATAAATTTTTGAAAAAAAAGTGTCGAAAAATAACTTACCACTAGTAAAAGCAGTCACAACATGTTCCAGAAATTTTTGGTTCTGATAAGCGGTTTTAGTATCATCACCAGATTTGTAAGCAATTCGAGTCTTGGCTTCTCCAAAAATGCCAATTTTTATGGATTTAATTCGAGTTGATTCAGTCAGTACGATAGTTACAACACCAGATATTGTTTGTCCGGGGAAATAGGCTTTTTGATTCTTAGAAAAATTAATCGTGTAGCTCTTTATTTTCACCGTCATGTTGGATTCAAGTTCTATATCACAATACTCATGCTTCAGATGATTTATTTTAAGGTAGTTTTAGCTTTCAAAGAAGGTAAAATCCACATTTAACATCATTAAATTTCATTCAAGATTGTCTATGTTGTGATGTATGATAAAAAATTGATCTATAGAGGTTTTATACTATCTTCATGTAATGGGGAATATTCATGAAAGAGTCTAAGCGTAATCATATAGGTTTTGTTATTTGTTACTATGCACCTATTGATTCCCTTGCAATCTTCGTTACGCAAGAACAAATGGAATAGAATGATTCATAGAACTGTCAATAGATAATCACAATACAAAATATGCAGTTATTTAGTCATTAGATAAAGTAAATGTTTGTATTAATGAATAATGATTAACCGTAATTTCAATTTACATTCTATTATGAGTATACACATTGTTGGGTAGTCCATAGTTTAATTGAATAAATTTAGAATATGAATTGTCTACTATTACTTAAACTTGTACCAGATGTGAACAGACACCTCAATTCGTTAATGTATGCAATGAGTCTTTGTTGCAAGTGCCGCATGATCTAAATGTACTCATATTCCTTATTTTTAATGTCATTTTGTGTAACATTTCTACTTTTATAAACCTCATAGAGCATGCAATATCTTTCTTAAATTTTGCCCGATTTATTTACATCTGATAGTTTACCACTATTACAAATAGCTAACGTCAATGTAGAACAGTACATCATTCAGCTTTGATTATGGCTTAATTTATGCTAAAATTAATAAAATAGAATCATGTAAAGCAAATATAACGTTTCCATAACAACAGGTGGAGCCACAACTGTCATGGAATCAATTTATATCGATCATAGGCACGTGATGGAGTTAGATGCGATTGTTGACATTTAGTTTATGATCATATAGTATGTTTTGATATTTCTAATGACTTTCTATACAAAAATATGCCCTAGAGCTAATGTTATAGACACTGATACAAAATAGTACCATCAATTACGGTATGTTTCGAGATGGTTTTGATAATCGTTAATCTGTCATGCTACATACAATTTGACAGAAATCGAAAACATTGCGAAATAAATATTTATAAATACAATTAATCGCTAACATCTTATACAGAATAAATGAATGGATCGACATACAATAGCCATGCTACCTAGTCGATCCCTTAATACTGTAAACTAGTAAATAGTAAGATCTGATGTATCGCGGCTATAGCTAAGACCTTTTTCGATATCTTCAACTTCTTTCGAGGCAAAGGTGACAGATCTTCCTAACGTCGAATAGTAATTAAGACACGCGAGCTTACACTTAAAGATATATTTTGTATTTAAGAGTGTACTTCTCTGCCTTTTGTAGTCCCTCTACGTCTTTGTAACCTTTTTCTGAAAACGACGCCGCGTAAATTTGAGATAAAACATAGCTGTAGTAAGATTTGATTCATATAGCCAGTGTTTGCTATCTAGAAATAATATTGTAGCTAGAATAATCAGCATGTTCTTGTTTCCATTTCCCAAATTTTAAAAAAATTCTCATCATTTTCCATTCCATACTTTATGGTTATTATTATACAATAAGCTATAGAAAATTTAATAAAAAATAAGTTGATTAAATTCGCCCCTGAGATGCACCGTAGTTAAAATTTTCATCTTTATATAGTACCTTGAATATTATTTATAGTAAGAAAAAGCTTTCAACTAATATTTACGGCAGTATAAAGGTTACTTCTTAGCGGCTTATAGTCCAGAAGTAGCAATTATCAGCTCGACTCATTACGGCTTGATTTTACGCGATACACTTGTAAAGAAAATTTCATTAATGTTTGTAACTAGATTATTCACTCCACAGCCTACGTGAACTGGTGTGTATACTTTAATCAGCACTTTTGCTCTACTTAATGTTCTAGCTCTAGTACTGCGGATACTGTTTCAAACACTATTAGGATTAGTTTTAATCCTAATTAACGAACTCGTAAAGGAAATATTATACCACAGTCTAAGATGTTCATTACGTATAAAATTTTGAAAATTAAAAAATTAATCTGAGATTTGGAGATTTATATAACTCAGAACAATATCTTTTCGGCAGAGTTTGCTGTCTGATAGATTACTGTGCCTGCTGCTTAACCTCGGATACTCATATCTATGTAGAATCATCGTTGCATACATGATAAGGCAGATAAACTATAATAATCGTCAGTTGTAATCAGCTAAAGTATATAATTAAACCTATATCAAAAAATATTTTCTCTAATTTCGACAAACTACACCTCGTATCGCGCCATTATTGTACTTTATGCTTTATAAATCGATAAAATATACTAGAAAAACTCGAATTTTCTAATATCTGTTACATACGATTATGTAGTTCTGTAATACGAGAACAATAAAAATCGCACCATCAGGTTTTTGTTATACTTTACATTGATTTCAGTTTCAAGTCTTAGAATGCAATCGAGCATACTAGTAAATTTAGTTGCTTGTTTCATATACGTACAAATTAGCAAAATTAAAATAAAGCAGAGATTCTGAATCAGTCGCTTATTCTTCTAAGTAGGTCTCGTCTTGGTTAATATCGATAACCTATGGACTCTAATCGACTTCTTTTACTAAATGCTATCTGCAAAGGTCAACTAAAGTTTACTTCATGTTTTGTAAAATCATAATCAGTAGTCTTAGCCTAAAGCCTGTTAGGGTTGCGTTTACACTTTTTTGTGGTATTAACAATCTCTAACGGTTAATTAATTATTAAGATAGATGAAATATGGAACTAAACGCGTCAGATCATACCGTAAATAGATTAAAATGTTTTCGTTGTAAATCCGTAACTTAGGCACCATTCGATTACTTTGACCCACAATGGCCTTTGGAAACATGGTGTATGAAAATATATCAGATCCTACGTTATAGACTTACTGATGATGCGTTAAAGATAACTCTACAGAAACTTAAAAGCCAACAGAAACAATTTCATTAATTAAATTAATGAGTAGCCTTAAAACGGAAAGTCTCTGGTCTTATGTGGGGTAAACAAATTAACTACCATCTAATGCTAAGAAATGTAAAGAAGATATGAGTTACGTTATTTTATCACATGCGAGTACTGTAATAATCCGAAAACGAATGCTTTGTTATTAATATCACTACGCCAGTTTTCACTAAATCCAATTAAATTGATAACAACATTCCTTGCGAACATTAAACATATTGTTTTCCACGCAGTCTCTTAAGCAGTTGTATAATTTATATAATGAAAGGCCTTTTCTATTGGATTGCTCTTACAAGCCATATAATATTTTAGCGAACATACGAAATAGAGTGTGCCTGTTCAAAGCAATTACATAAACACACACTGTACATGGTAGTAAATTAAATTAAGTATACAATATGTTTAAATCATTACCATTCGTATGAATCTTCTGTTCGCTGTAGATCTAATAATGATAACCATTTCAATTATAAATTGGTAATATTATCAAATATCGTGCAATCAAAGATCCATCCTCAATTTATATATCCTGCTAATTTTAAACTTTTTTTCTCATCGAATTTAAACCTTAAGATGTGTAAATTTTGACGCTGACGTATTTAGCAATAAACCTGTACAGCAACAGAAAGGTTATATGCCTCTACTTTAGCAAAGATTCTGGTAAACTTGTTTACAAGCATAGATATTAGCTTACTCTTTGTACAAGATTGCACAAGAATAGCAAAATAAGTGTAACTGACCATCGCTCATTAAAAGGCCAAAACCGCATTTTGATTTGGTGCTACAAATTTTTTTAAACAATTATTATGCCTCAAACAATTCTATCCTATTATATATTTCTCGATGATTTACAAGAAATCTATCATGCTCGTGATATTGTATCTGGACATATTCATTTAGAATTGAAAAATCCGTTAACAATTCAATGTATTCAAGTTCGAATTCATGGCAGAGCGAAGACTCAAATTCAGTATGGACCTACAAACGATTTGAGATACGCTTACAGTAAGCGTAATATTATTGATTCCATGATCACCGCAAGTACAGAAGGTATGTTAAGTACCGGTAATCTTTTACTTGGGTCATTTCCTTAGTTAACATTTATAGTAGTAATTTTAAGCCTGTTCATTATTTTAATGTCTGCAAATCAGTAGATGAGAATTGCTCAATATAAATTATCGCTTTGAACGAGGTACCACCTTTCTGTAAAAATTTTTAGAAGCGAAATACTATTTTTAATATTTCGATCATTCCTGATCACAATACGAACTTTGTCTCTTCTATTTCTTTAATTTGAAGTGGAAAATTCTGATTTACTTTATCTGTTCCAGCCTAACTGACTATTTATTAATTTATCTTGAACATCGGTTTAGATACTGAAACAGTGGAAAACCCAGGAGTTCTATTTCCTGGAAAATACAACTTTACCTTCGCTTTTCAATTGCCGAAAATCCAACTACCATCTACCTTCGAGGGTTTATATGGCAATAGCATTCGTTACATGATTAAATCTTATTTAATATCGCATGAATCTATGACTAGGAAGGTTAAATTTAAGAAAATATTCCTCTATCATGAAACTATGCCTTCACGTCTTAGTCATCTCATGGTAAGTTAGCGATGGTCTTAAATTGAGTTAAGATATTTCTTGTCATAGATAATTTAATAGTATGCAATGTCAAGAGTTATAAAGTTTCATCTAAACATTATGCTTATTAAATCGCGAAGATATATCTTGAAACAAACGATAAGCAAACATTTTTTAAATATTAGCCTTAAACAACAGTCGAGAAAATCGCAGAGGTTTTAATCTATGATCACGGGTCTTATACGGAAGTGACTGTCATTATCAGTTAGTTTGCTTTGTACATATTTGGGAGTGATTTAGATAACCAGTTTCTGCATTTTTCGATCTTTAAAATATGGCATTCTATTTCTACTCTGATGTACACTCAAATGAAAAAGAAACCACTTTATAATCATTACTTGCAGCAGTGACTAGCTTCATCTTTCACATGTTATGATACTAATAAATATTGCAAACCGTACTATTAAATTTGCATACATAAATGCAAGGGCATATTTCTTAATTCTTAAATAGAATGAAATTGTAAGATCTCATAATTTCGATAGGATACCGTAATTACTTTCAAGCTTATCTCTTAATTCTTAAATAGAATGAAATTATAAGATCTCATAGTTTTTGATAGGATACCGTTTTATTTTTAGTACGTTTACAGATTCTTCTTGACTTTATGCGATCACTGTTAAGATATGCATAAAGTGATTTTTACTACTTATTTTGGCAATCCGAGAGCAATCTTAGATTACTGCAAGCATAGCTATATTTCCTTTCTTTAATAATTCTTACGGTGATTTTGATAACTTCTTCAGTTTGTAATCGTAAATAAATTTTCGTCCAGGCGCCTTCAGAAATGGTGGAGACTGAAAAAACACTCTGTTGCTTTTGTTGTAAGTCGGGCCCTTTGCTGCTAAGGGCACAGATTGATCGAACAGCATGTAGAATAGGTCAAGATATTAAAATTATTACATCGCAAGTGGAAAATGGCACAAATCTAACGTTATCAGGTATTTGGGCCGGATTCGTGCAAACTATCAATCGGGAAGCAGAAGGTTTGTTCTAACTGGATTGACCGAATTATTAGAATTATATATATACGGGTAGTGCACCTATCATTTTACGCAAAAATCACTTCGTATATCTTGCTATAAGGTCGTTATTACAGAGATAAGGTTGTATATTGCTTATCTACCTCTGGAGAAGCCATTCGACCAAATGGAAGGGCGATCTGGAATGATCATGTAATTACAGTACCCGATGTGTCCCCAACCAATACAAAGGTGGATATTTTGAAAGTGGAGTACTATTTGAAGGTAAAATAATTAATGTAATATCAATTGTTCAACACCAAGAATTTGTATCGCTGGGTAATTTATAGTCTATATCAAATATCTTCATGTTCGTCAATACTAGCTTTTATTTTCATACTAAAATAATCAATTAATTTTATATAATCTATCTCTTCTAGATATTTGTAAATATTCCATCTTCCAAAACTTTACAATTAAAATTCCCGATTATAATTTCTAATACATTATAGAGACAGCCGCTCTACAGGTAGCCTGTAAGCTTTAATATATTATATCTAATGTTAATTGCAACACTAAATATTCATGTTACATTTCGGCATGAAATCCTAGCCATTTGTTCAAATTGGTCTTTGTACAAGATATCATAAACGTATGCACTTAAACAAGTTTACCTTGGCCTAAATATTCAAAATTCAATCATACATAGGATTAATCGGCTTCGGTTTTCAAATCTTTGCATTAGGATTTAACGTAGTAAAGTGCCTACATATCGTACCAGATGTATACGTTTAATTTGAAGCTAATTCAGCGTGGAGTCCCTGTAAACGCGCTCGAATACTTGCTTTCGAACTCATCTTTATTATGTATCGAATTTTTTCTAAAGCTTTTAATGAGTTATGATAAAGAACAGAACATCAAATTACTAGTTTCTGCTGTTATATTATTGACGAGCAGGGTATAAATTAAGACGATAACGAAGATTAGATGCTATTCAAGATTGACACTTACAACCATCCTCTTTCATTTCTTGTCGCAATGTAGAATATATAGGTGTATCTTTAATGACCTAATAAGCATTAGTTGAAGAGAATACTAAAATATCAAGCAGATTATGACCCAATATTGACATTGCATAATTTAAAAAGAGTATTATTCTAAAAATTTTTAGCTATAGCAGTTACAATTCAATCAGCGAGGACAGTATACCCGTAGAGAAGACATGTAATCATAAAAATTTGAAATGCTAACAACGATTTTAAAAATAAAATACATCAAGTCATGTTTCAACTAACACTCTAGAAGAATTGATTGCTATATAATTGTATTTTTAGATTCAGTATAATTGAAAAGCTTTTCATCTGTTGCAGAATACCTCGAAATGCTTTACAATCGCTGAGGAGCATCGATCTGCTGTCTGTTCAAATAAATGATTTACCACCATAATATTTTAAAGTTTTATCTTTGTAAATTGTATTTTGCAATTTAATACTTTACCACGTGTAGTTGTAATTGCTTTCGCATATAATTACATAATGCTGTTACCACTCCAATTTTGGCTAGGTATACATTCTAATAAATTGTTGATATTATTTATTATTGTACCAAATGATTGAGTTGACTTAAAATATTAAAGATCTCAGCATGAAGTGATGAAAAAAATTACATTGTTTGTAAATATACCTGACTGACATCACCGCCATCAATAATGCCGCTGATGATTGTAAAAGATCTTCTTTCAATATCGAGATCCTTTGGCTAACGTGATAATTTATATTGATACGAAACTCAAAAAATTGCTATGGCGCGTGGGTTGATTGTTAACGAACTAAAATCTTACCTGTACTAAGATTTGCAAAACTCTTTTCAGTAATTTTGCATCAAATATACTCTAAATAAGTTCCAAGTGCAAGAAGATTAGCATTTATGAAGTTTAAACATATGAACCAATTCATCATGATGTAAATGTTTATCTTACTTGTCGAAAGTCACTCAGAGATATATTAATCAGTAATGATAATGATACCTAATAAGAAATATTTTGCTACGATTAAATCCAAATGCACAGCAATCAAATAAAGTTCTCTTTTGCTTATTGTTTTGTAACAACGAATAACTAAATTGAAGTTCGATACTTACCCAAAGGTAGGTTACTCCGCAGTTACCACAAAAATGTGGCTTAAGATATTCAAGCACTTTCAAATCTACAACAGTCTACAAACGTAAAGTATTAATCAGTCTCAGTGTGTCTATCTTCGAAGTATCTTTAGTTATTAAAGCTACATAATGGCAGTAAGGCTCAGTGCAGGTGTTCTATGGGTAGGCGTATACCTTTATGCATCTACTAGTAGCTTCGGTGGTAGTTCTACGCCATCTGGGCGTATAAGTGAGGTTCATGAGAGCAGTTAGAGAAGTTTCCTTTACATTAAAACAAGCAACTTTATTATAATTTATTGTAAAATTCAATTTTACATTAACTATCGACAATGTAATCCTAGTTAACCGATAACTCTTTTGAAGATGAAGCAACAAGAGGGACTATATAAGGCAACCAACCATAGTTTAAAATATGCTAAACAAAAATTAAAATTGACATTTTGAGTTAAATCAGAAGTATCGGCTTTCTGTCATTAAATTATACTATTTATTACGGAAATTTAAATAAAAGTTAAATTTGTAAAATTTTATCCAGAGAAATATACCGATAAAAAATCGTTAGTGTCCGTCTCCGAGTCATCGAATATATCGACGAAAGATTTGCAAACGTTTACGATAACCTACATCAAAGAGTCTATTATTATTATTATTCAGCGACAGGCAAGTACGTTACCAAGGTAGTAAGAGTTTATAAATTCCTCACCTCTCTATCATTGTACCAAATCAAATCGTTAAATACCGGATAAAGCTATAAAATATGAGTTATTGAATTAATGTTGCAATTGAAGAACTACTATATGAATTTATTCTCTAAATTTTAATGATTGGATTTACAGGAACAAGATATTGGGGCTGTATTGGACTTCCTATACCGTGAATCATGATAGCTAAAATTTTACTGATCAGTTTAATGAAATTCATCTGCATTGTAATAAAAATCAATGGTTAGTCGGAGTATGCATTATAGATTGCATGTTAACATGGACGCATAATGCTAGACCGCTTAAACATATTACAAATTACATCATGTCGATAGGCTTGGAGAGTAGAATAGAGAGTATTGGCAAAGGTGACATCTTCGAGGAAAACGAACGGTGCGATCTTAGTAAACAAATCACAAGCATGGTATGCTACCTCAGGATAGGGCGAAGACAATAATTCAATACTTTCTGTGACTCCACCTGACAGTATTATAGCACAAAATTTATATGCTTTTTAAATCTTTAGTAAAAGATATTAAGAAAAATTTCAATTTTGCAAAAACCTTCATCTTTAAAGGTACGATAGTCCTTTTCTAATAATGAATTTAAAGCTCTGCAAAGTTCTACTTGAACTTCTGGATTCGAGCTATTTTTATATTTATAGTTCAACAATAATTAATAACACTGATGTTACAATAATTATATTGAATCTATTCGCTATAACATAACGATAAATATTAAATCATACCTATCAGACCGAATAAGACAGCGAACTAGTTTAATTACCAATTGAGATCTATTTCAAGTCAGGAAATGACAGTGTTAATAAGTTGGCATGACATACACAGTCAGTCAAAATGATAATGCACCTCATAACTGGGTCTGGTATAGAAGTTATTGCCATGATGGCCCTGTCGTTGTAAATAGATTAATTGCTATAATTCCTAGCCACGAATAGTTTATTAATTACTAGCTGTAGAATTACGAAATAGCCTAAACACCTTGCAATTCGAGCAGCGTCGTATATTTCTTGAGGTGTCGATTTTGAAGTCAGGTTCTATATTAGTTGCAATCAGACATTATTACTCGACTGAATAGAAATTTGAATCAATTGCGGCTAATTGAAATGATTTACTACTTAATCTGCGACATAGTACGTATAAACTGCGAGGAGAAATGACGAATCTCGAATAAGAGACATTCCTTACCGACAGGACGAAAGTAATTTTATCGCCAACTTGTTCGTGCATCTACAGTACATGACGTATATATTTAGTAAACATGGCAAAGATTTCATAGGTTTACTCGATGTACACAAGTAATGAAAGAAATTTCCTATCAATGAAGGTTAATCTACAGCTATTTATAATAACAATTTATGTCAAACTTTGCTTGCAGTGATGATAACGAAAGAGGTTGAATTGAATTACTGTTATTACCTTGGCTATTTCTATAGAGAGCATGGGTCATTTCAAGTGATTACATGAAGAAAAAAATGTTTTATCAGATCACATAGAATGATGATCAATGTCGCTGTATCATGTTAACATAGTGCTGTATTATGTAACACTAACGCAGTAGAATTGACTACTTCCCATAGGCTACATCATGGCTAAGTGTAAAGTTTTAAGTTGGATAACAGTAGCTACTCTTCATAAGATAGAGGATTATTATGCAACACTAACGCAGTAGAATGGACTACTTCCCGTAGGCTACATCATGGCTAAGTGTATAATTTTAAGTTGGATAACAGTAGCTACTCTTCATAAGATAGAGGATTATTATGCAACACTAACGCAGTAGAATGGACTACTTCACGTAGGCTACATCATGGCTAAGTGTATAATTTTAAGTTGGATAACAGTAGCTACTCTTCATAAGATAGAGGATTATTATGCAACACTAACGCAGTAGAATGGACTACTTCCCATAGGCTACATCATGGCTAAGTGTATAATTTTAAGTTGGATAACAGTAGCTACTCTTCATAAGATAGAGGAGTACATTCACTTAATGAAGTTGAATTGCTGAATGAAAAAGATCTTATTTATTGGCTGTATTGTAGGTAGTGTAGGTGATACTGGAAGATCTATTTTTGAATATGAAATACCTTGATCATGGATCGATGTAAGGATATCTTGCATTTCCCTAACGCTGCGATACACAGTCTTAGTATGCCTTCTAAGGTTTACCTCGCTGCTTTTCTGCCAATTAACTACTTGAATTAATTCATTTTTGTACGTTCTTGCAACGATCTCTCCTAAATTGCCTTCAGTAGCATTAAATTGCCATAGAAAATCAAGTAATTCTTGAAAAATATTATTTCGTTCCGTTTGCAAGATTATGTTTAACAATGTTTCTTTCTTTTGGTAATCATTGGGCAATAGATCCAAGTAACGCCGATTATCATCATTGATTAACTGACTAAAGTTTTCTAGCGATCTCTGTGTCGGAATGTTGTGGCATATTAAGGTGAAATGCTTGATAATTGTATTTCTCTGACGTGAATCCATCTTTCTCTTTTTTGTCGTCTATAAATGAAGCAATTAAGAAGCATAATGTTATTAAACATTATGCTACAGCACCAAAATACATCCTAAAGTGCTGTTCATCGAAAACAACGACTACAAACAGCGATAGTACCTTCCGAATTTTATCAACATAAACTATGCAGAAAATTTGCAGACCTCAGTCATGATGCTACTATTAATAATTTTTCTTCCCTTTTTATACTCCCAACTTAAGTCTACTGTAGTATTGCACACTGTATAGTAGAGTGATGAATTATTCGCCCAGTAATTACCTAATATGGCGAATGGAGTAGTCCTAGTCAGGATCTCCTACTGTTCTATTGTTTAGGGATGGCCATCTTGGACAATATGGTAATCATGTTGTCTTCAGCAATAGTGTTAGTATAATGAAGAAATCATCAAGTTCGATCAAAGATCATCAATTAATTAGTAATACACCATGCATTTGCATAATATTGCAAGCTTGGAAATATCTGGCTACAAGGACGAAGTAGAACAAGCGGGGCCAAACATTGCCATGTTTGCGACCCTTTCGGTGGCTGGTCTACAGAATGAGGATAGTTGCTTGATTTTGAAACAGGATAGATATCATGCTACTGACTTTCTACACGTAGATTCTTCGATTGGAGAGAGAGTCTGCTACTCTATGCTGTTGATCAAGACCATCATTACGATAGGATTTGCATGATGATAATCATTTACTACAGAATGGAATAGAACCGTTCTCAAATAAGATCATCTGCATACTCTAGCAGAATTTTTTAAACGACAGTACCTGGAAGACATTCAGAAAGAACTACTGAGTACCTTGCTTGATGATAATGATTTACAACAGCATCATGTAGAAGCGATCACAAGCACGATCATCGACATACTTTAGCACAATTTTAAAAACTACAGTACCAGGAAGACTTTTAGAAAGAACTACTGAGTACCTTTCTTGATGATAATGATTTACAACAGCATAGAGAAAACGGATCACAAGTACGATCATCCGCATACTCTAGCAAAATTTTTAAAACTACAGTACCTGGAAGACTGTTAGAAAGAACCACTGAGTACCTTGCTTGATGATAATAATTTACAACAGAATAGAATAGAAGCCATCACAAGCACGATCATCCGCATACTGTAACAGAATTTTTAAAATTACAGGACCAGGAAGACTTTTAGAAAGAACTACTGAGTACCTTGCTTGATGATAATAATTTACAACAAAATAGAGTAGAAGCCATCACTAGCACGATCATCGACATACTGTAGCAGAATTTTTAAACTACTGAGTACCTTGCTTTAGGATAATAATTTACAAAAGCATAAGATGGAAGCATTCACCAGCACGATAATCGACATACTCGAGCCGAATTTTTAAAACTATCAGGAGGACTTTAAGAAAGAACTACTGAGTACCTTGCTTGATGATAATAATTTATAACTGAATAGACTACTGTAGAAGCAATCACAAGCACGATCATCGACATGCTGTAGCAGAATTTTAAAACTACAATACTAGGAAGACTTTTAGAAAGAACTGATTACTTTGCTTGATGATAATAATTTACAACAGCATAGAGTAGAAGCGATCACAAGCACTCACATCGACGTACTCTAGCAGAATTTTTAAAACTACAATACCAAGAAGACTTTAGAAAGAACTACTGAGCACCCTAAAGTCGCCTGCTTGCAAACTTATCGTAACTTTTAAGGTTGCAATCAGAATAGCAATATTCTACTTTATGTTGCAATTCTTCAGGTCATAATTAGCAACATATACGAAGGCGAATTATTTACAATAGATGACGGTAATAAGAGCTGCAGTATTTCTATGTATGCCTATTTCCTTTAGCCACAGTATGCTAAACTAGTCATGCCCAAGTATAGGAGTTCCATATCTACTTTTACCTCTAGCATCAAGAGTGCTTGCACACCGTATTAGGATCTTGGAAACTCTGTTGGAAAATTGGTTCATTAGCTGCGCTAGTCCGATTAGTACTGTGCTCGAGGGTATTCTAAAATAGGATACTTTTATTGCACCATTCTTTAAACTAGCACATACTTACTTTCCCTACAACGAATTCGATTCTTAACTGATCTACTAGCCAGCTGAACGAGTTGAGCTAAATCAACACTGAGCTATAGTTCTGTAGTCGTTTATGTGCTGTACTTCGTCACCATTCGATCGCGATGGATTGTCTTTCATTACAGGACAGTAAAATAATCAGTAGAGCCATGGACTTTTAGATCCTCCTTGTAGGCCGTGATAGTCTGTTCAGTATTTTATACAGTGAGTGGTCTTTAATCAACTGCAATTGTCCATTTAGGAGACTACTTTGCACATATATTCCTACGATATACATGGACCTAGACAGTGTATAAAAGTGAAGGAAAACTGTTCGATACTGTTCATTGCCATCTGTTCTCGAATATCCTGTAGTTTAAGGTATCCTCATTTCAAATCTATGCTATAGTTATCCGGTACTATGGCTTAGGATAAATCGAGTAAGCTTCGCTCCTGTACATCATATTTTCAACATGGCTAACAATCTTCAATCTAATGCCATGTCCGATTACAGCAACATACATAGCATGCAATTACGAAGCAAGTTGTATTCGATGCTAAGTTCAATGGAGTGTATATTTACTGTTCTTATGGCGTACGCAGAGCGAAATACTTGCATGATGTTGCAAATTGCTTTGAACGTGTATAATATGTTCTATCGATTGTAGACTTCTTGTAACAAGGTCGACAGCTGTAAACCGAAGGTAGTTAGTTCTTGGTACTGTTCGATGAACCCTAGACTATGTTTTAGAGTGAAGCTTTACAACAAATGCTATTTTTTGTTTTCATATTTTTTCAATATTCAATTTAGCTTGATCTTGTGACTTAATTTGACAAGATAGGATTGAGTAGTGAGAACTAACCTTTCAATCAACTGTGCATATTGAAGTCGTCGATTTTATTACAGTAGGTTAGATAGTGATAGACTGAAGGTAGCAGACAGCCCCTTAATACAGTTAAGTTAACCAAATCAATGCAAGAAAATGCAGATTTACAAGAAATGTTGTTCTTTTTTAATATTTTAAAAACTCTTTTAAACATAGTGATACTTGTTAGGATGAACTACATACTGTATAACACCATGATTGCAATTTTAAATTATAGTTGAAATTAATTGGTTGCAGAGTGATTTCTTGTCTGTTTATTCACTGAAAGTAATTTACATATTTTACCCTAAATTATTCTTAAATAATGCTACAATTTGACCATGTATAATAGAAACTAGATGCAATGTCTATCATTCCTATTATATTAAGTAAGCGATTGAGTATAAATTCCTTGCCTACAGATCTTGAGGAGCAAGTAGGCTACTGATCTGATCATTAGTAGCTTGTAATATAGCACATATAGTACACAAGTACCTAATAAAGATTATTCTCTAAATTTAGACTTAAGCATAAAAGCAAACTATCTAGTTGAGTGCAGAAGTGATAAGTGATAAGACTCAAATGATTCCCTAAATATTGTAAACTTAAAGATTGGTTCTAGTTTGTGGTGTAGAGCTGATTTGGAAAGTAGAGAGCATTTGTGCAGAGCGGATTTATAACGTATCATAATCAGAATGATTAGTGAACAGATACAGAAGAATATGGCTATTTATCACCAAGCTTCTTTAACACACAGCAGTTCGCCATCGCAGTAATCAAGCAAATGGAATCGTCATTTACTAATTATAGAATTATCGCTACATAGTATTGAAGTATTATTAAAGAATTTCGATTTCTGCTAGTGTTGGTAGTATCTTGCTGGTGGAAGTGGTAGATAGTGAAAGCTGAACAAATACTCGTGTTAATGTACACATTGACCAATAAGCTAAGTACTATCATAGGCCTGCGGTCCAAGCTAAAATTAAATATTACTGCAATTACTATAGTATAAATCTGCCGTAATTTGTATAAGGTACAGGTAAGAAGACTGCAAACTGACGATTATTATGTATATTGGAAAATGACATTTATGCATGCTAATAAATAAAGTTAAATTAATAATAATAATAATAATTAATAGTCTAATTTATTGCATGAACTCGTTAGACAAACTGTACTGTGGTGCTGTACTTGGATTACTTGCACCAATAATTCTAGTTCAATAGACGGTAGATATTCTTTAAAATCGTTTTCAATAGTTAAATGCATTCGTTTCGTAGCTCGTCAATGGTTCTACAAGATCGTGATAAATCTTGTATTGAAACTTTTCGATAAACATAAATCATATAGACGTAATTACAATGATTTATTTTATTTTGCATGATTACTTCTTCACGGACTTACTTTACATATAAATATATAAGAATTTGCATGTGTAAGGCTATTTTAATTTCATATTTACTTTATTAGTTAATGTTATGAATTGGGTCCGGTTTGCGGAAGCATAAACGTAATATAGCTCAAACTCACAACAACGCATTATTTGCAATTATTTTAATCCTCTGTCTTTACTTAAGAACATGTTAAAATCTGCTCTAACAAAGTCAAACTTCCTCTTAAATACTGTATCATCCAAATTAACTTATCTAGCGCCTTTGCATGGTTCAAGCACTTCAGCTATGCCAACGATACTGTATAACACTCTTATACGATAGAGAAAGACATTACTAAGTTGTAGCGCTTTAAGATAGAAAAGCTGTGCTAATCTAGATAAGTACAAGCAATTTATTATATCGAGGTCGCGACAATTAGCTTGAAAAGCTGTGAAAATATTACTATAATGCTGTTTGCATCATACGCATATTTTTTTAGAAACTGATAACTTCTTCAGCAAATTAGAGACTATTTCAACTTTATGTAACCATAATTGTTTAGTTATCAATGATTCACGTATAAAATGATGAATAACTGGAAGCATGCTCTAATATAAATCGTAGAGACTACAACTTTCAACGCTAACGGTAGAAGTGTAGGATGTGCTGTACTGCATATATTAGGTCAATCCCGGAATACATGTTATATATACCGAATTTATCTAAACAATTCATAACGATGTGATCTAGGATCTATTGGAGAATATTGAAATTATAACTGCATGTGCAGGTGAAAAGGAATTATTAGAACAATAATCATATAATTATGGTTACTTACTGTTAGATAGATACTTTGTTATTAATTACCTAACATATGAAGAAATTTATTGGACTACGGCACAGGTTTCAAGATCATACTTCAGGCTGCCAAGCATAACTATAACGAGGAATAAATTGAGTATTGCCAATGAAGACACAATTGATATCGTCTTCTTCTACAGTACTTATTGGTCCATCAATGCATGGGGCAAAGTTAGAAGGCTCCGTACTATCCGTATTATCCGCATCATTCAATTTCAATGACAATTTATTCTTGAGAACCACTAAAATGATCGAAATCAAGTTTCACTTAGATTTACTATCGTAAATATCATTTTGCCTGTCTTGAATCAAGCAAGATCTCAATTATTTTGCATAGAGCCAATTTTAGAGAATTGATTACTGCCATAGGCAACAAATACTTCCTTCTGTATCTTATTACGATACAGATTATACGCTATTATTAGCATAAATATCGTATCTAACAACACAATGATGGTCAATTTCAAGGTCTAACGATTCATAAATCATAATTTCGTTATTCTTACCTGAACGACCAACCATAGGAGACGCTAGATTACTCTCAGTCTCTCCCTCCGCGTTGGCGAATATGTTTGGTTCGTGCTTACCTACGACGAAACTAGAAATTTCCTTCTCTTCTTCATTTGATTTTACTACTTCTTCATTTGAATTTGAATTTACTACTTCTTCAGATTTTGTAATCTTCATATCGTCTAAGGAAATTTTAATAGTATCTCCAGAGCTATTGGAAATCTTTCTCTCGACGGTATTATGCTTAAGTGAAGTTCGGTTACTGAAGCTATATTCACGCGGTAGGGTAACTGTAACAGGGGAGCAAATGACAATTGCCGGTTGACCACTTGTATCTAATTTAGTTTCTGCTATTGTCATTATATTAGGCAAAATAGTCCCAACTATTATTGGCAATACTACGGCTAACGTTGATCTTCGGTTAACATTTACATTTACCTGTAGAATAATGAAAGCTTAAGGATAAGAAACGATAATTTTATCTCTATATTCGTAAAAAATAGCGTATCTAATCTCCTTCAAAGTCAGGAATTGAAAGCTCTAATTTTTAAAGTTCTTATTAGCAGGACTAAGGCACCTACCTCTAATAAATATTCTACTTGAATAAGACGAGAAATTAAATTGGTGGGGGATATACATGGCATTACAAAGGCATTAATCGGAGATGAATATTTATCGTGATAATTGATATGACAAAGTAGATCTTTGCTAATGTATTCCTTTCGACTCATGGTACTATTGCCTATGAAAGAGTTAAATAATTTAGAAGTAGCATGGTTATAATTGTTTTTTTTATAATGATTAGAATCAAGATACAGCAACATCAAGGAGTACGATACGATAAGATGTTTCATTTCGATTGATTCTATAAAAAAATTCTAGCAAGTCTTACCATGTGCACGCATGTATAACTTTCTAACTAGTTTCACTTTTATGGAGGTTAAATTTTGCGGCAAGCCATTTTCGATGTCTAATTGAAGAACAACATTCTCTCCAGGGCAGTAACATTTTCTAGCTAGTTTGCATGCAAACGAAATCATTCCCGAATTGATACAAAAACAACCGAATTTTTTCTCTATCTCAATCGGAATAGATGGCTCCTAGTTATATGCGGAAAACATATATTAATTATAAATAAGTATTCTTTGTAAGTGTTCTAGAAGTTCGTGCACTTAAACTTATTATTTGTATAATAGGCTATATAATTCTATGAGTTTTAATACATTTAATAAGTAAGCTTTGTTGATATTAAGCCCAAGAATTAGATTCGAAGTAAATAAAATATAATCCTTACACTAAATTGTGGTAACTTTGTATCTATAGTTTCTAATATGGTTACTGCTTTTCTAGCTATTCGCGTTTGCTTTTTGGGTATTTCAATCCAGCAATCAATAATATACCGTATACTACTACCATTTCCATCTTCAAATGATGATGGTAAGCCACTACTTGGTAATGGAAAATTGAATTCAAAATCATAACGACCTTCGCTCAATTTTGAAGCGCGAATCGATCTTGTCATTTTATCTGTAATGATGATTAATTAGATAAGGAGGACGTTTAAATATTAGATAGATTTATTAAAAGCGAAAATTTAAAATTATTAATAACTAGTAAAGCTTAATGATTAAGAAAAGTGCATACCTTTGCCGAATAGAATGGCTGATTTATCTACATACAGTTGTTCATCATAAGTCGATTCCTCCTGACCAGCTTTTGCAATACTGACTCTAGCTCTACCATAAAATCGCAAACGTACATTGCTAACATTTATAGGCGATACCAAAACTATGGTGACCCTGCCAGAGATTGTTTCTCCGGGATAAAAAACGCTTTCTTCTCTGGCAAGTCGAATTGTAAATCTTCTTAGGCTTTTCGATTTAATCGACATGACATTTCCTGAATTTTTTTAACAGAATTAAATGTCAGTTATTTCCAATTTGAACCAGCCATTTTAGAAGATGGTAAAGATACTTTGTAGCATATTTCAAATTGAAAAGTTAACTCTTATTCAACATATAAAACGTAGAAAGGCTCAAAAGGCGCAATGGATCGATACTTTTAAAGAAAAATGCAATACAAAAACGGCATTATACGTAATTAATTTAATTAATAATCCATTATCAGTGACAAGTTAAGCATATTGTATATAATTGGCTGATAGCTCTGTAGAAGGTGGTCGATTATCACGTCATTGCTGTTTTTCGAAAAGGTGCAGACGATCAATGTGATTGAATGTTACAATTAATATCTATATCTGTGGTCCTAAGTTACCTTTGGGTGCTCAAATCAACAAGTAAAATGTCTAAAAAAATCTGATTTTATCTAATTTAATTAGCATTTAATAATAAAATCATTATCAATTAACGGAAGCGTTATTTAAGAGTTGACTTTACCTTGGCCAGAAACAGTGCTAAATTTATTGCCATCATGGAATGGTAGAATATTTCAATTGCTCTATAAGACTTTGCAAATTGGAAACAAATTAAATATGTAATCAATTGTTGCTCGAGTAGTGTATTGCTTATTTTGACCTGTTTTGACATCAATAAAAGTCATTATCTCTCTATAAAATGGTTGCAATGAATGCTAGTAATGTATGGGATGAATAATAGTCTAATTCAATGCTACGTCTTACTTATTTTAATCGTAAATCATATAAGTGATAGATATCGTCAGCTATTTTGGTCACCTATTTGGTTGACGTAGTATGCTACAGTACATATGTATTGCTGTAGTAGCGTTACATTGAAGAATGCAGTATTTAAGTCAACTCAGTTGGCTATCCTAAGTCATTAAAATTATTTGATGTTTTTGGTACGCATTAAGATATTGCTTCATCCAATGCTGACACATTTATCTCTTCGGGATAAGAAATGAAATTTTATAATAGGCAATATGCATATAATAACATTTTTCAAATGTATTAGTAGTCAGTTTTTATCATTTATGACTCAGCTAATACCACAATAATTTTCGAAATGTAAGGGGTATTTCAACTGTTCAATACGTGCTTTAATATAAGTTATGATCTCCATGATTCGAGTAGCGGACAATGTTTTTGGGAAACGATTTGGTTAGCTAACATACTACTGCCATAAAACGCTTTATAAGAGAATTTCAGAAGATATGCATGATGAGGTTTCTAAAATTAAGGTCACTAAGCTATACGTAAATATAGAAAACGATTCTTTTGGCGGTAAAAAATATATTTCAATGGAAGCCAAATTATGTTATAATAGGTGGATATCTTCTTGAGAATTAAGGTATAATTTATATAATTTGTAGTGCCTTAGGATATAACGTTATGAAAAGTTTTATTGGCCTAAATATCAGAACGTATACGGCTTAAGTATCATATAGTACTTGAAATAATTATTTACTTCTTCGTCTTAATACTTTGTAATTAATAATAATGTATTTATGATCAATTTATGATAGTTTGACTGAAGCTGACTAGATAAAGGTGTGCTAATTATTATCATCAAGAACTTGAATAAGACTCTTACTTTCGAAGTACTGGACTTATCATAGGAATGTATGACATCACCTTCAATTATACTATTTATATAGGCGGTAGATCAATTTTAGACAAGAGTCTAAATTCTACTCCTATAATTAACTTATTATGTTTTTCAAAGGGTTTTAAAATTTTATTAAATGTCAGTCAAGTTGATAATATATTGCCAAAAATTGTAGCTACAAGACTTATAAAAAAGATAAAGTTTCGCTATATCATCGTTGCAATTCTTATAATACTATTACTTATTTGCGTACTAGACTAAATAGAATCGCTGAAAATATATGCATCATAACTAGTCAGTTCATGAATTAGCAATGCTATAGTGCTATTCACTAAAATAAGCAATGGAAAAGCTAAGTTAGGAATATTGTAGTTGAACAAACATACCGTATCCTAGAGAAGAACAATAAATAAACTAGAGTTGCTGATAATTACGATTGCTCCTATATAAACGGGAAATAGTCGAATAATGCAGTGTCCTAATAATAGTTCCATCTTTTTTGCTGTTATTTGCGTATGTTCTATGAGAGGTATTAAAAGTGTTTAACTACGTAGACTACTTAAAGAACCTAATTTTGCGTTCTTTGGCCACAGAGTATAATTTGTGACTCCCAGTTCAAGCATTATCAGCAAAGAAGAAAAGATTGACCTTAACCAAATCGCAAATAGAGAAAATTAGTTAACAAGCGACTCTTAATAAATACTTTAGAAACAGTATTTATGAGCTATAAGTTTACGTAAAATTATAACACAATCTCTAAAACTTTATTAATATACTATTACTGACGCAATACAGGTACTAATCAAAACTGAGATTACGGATCCCTTAGTAGCTCCATCTAACATGCTTAAATTCTTAAAAATTAAAATTGCATAATGTTTCTATAGGATTTATTTCTTTCAGGCCTGACAATTAACGATGCTATATGAATATAATTTGATAATGTTGCTTAAGAGAATAATTAATCAATAAAAGACTATTTAATGATGTCAACTTGGTCAACTTTTGGTAACAGACTGCGGGGAAAAAGTTTTAAGGTCATAAAAGTGCTGATTATAACGTCAAATCTACTCAGTTTCCTTAGGTATTTTCTGCTATTAGATTAAAATACATTTTCTACAACTGATCCTAGTATCCTTAGCTTTACTTGAATTGTATATATATCATTTCAGTAGATTATCTCAATGCTGAGACATGCACTACCGGTACCGCTATGTACCAGCTTACTAGTAAACGAACTTATAACAGGTACTGCTTCGATTCATTTAGCAAATTGTAAATCGGATAGATATCATTCTTTAAGTGCTCCTGATAAACATGAAGAATACGTGTTTTTCATAGTTCCTTCATCTAGAGATTTAATTTCTAATACTTACCTGATGTATTGCATAAAATTTCATCGTTGGATTGATTTCTGTTGCTTAACGTTGCCGGAATACTAGAAGAGCACGTAGGAGGTAAACAAGGGTAAGGTTCCAATTGGATGATATGTTGGGATTGGCCTCGTTCTAGTAACGGCGGCGATGCTTGAGGTAATTTTATTTTTAATCTTGATCTTGAGTTCGTGCATATTTTTTTTTTAGGTATAGTGGCAATAACAATTGGAAGTTTTATGCTGTGTTTTGTGTAGTAAGGTAGCTTAGTGAATATCTGTCATGACGTAAAATCAAAGCATCTGTATCAGTATTTCCTCGAAAATGATTCAAGTATTGGAATCAGATCAACTATCACATAAATTTTCTAAGCGCTTACATCTAAGTAATATTCTACTTTAATAAGATCGGAGCTTGTATTAGTTGGACTTAAATCAGGAATAACAAATTTAAAGTTTTTTAAGGTTGCCTTAGATGCTGGCGACATCAATCCATCAGATACAACAAGAGAATAAATGTTCTTATCCTTCTGTCGATAATCTATTATAGCGAATAAATATATAAAAAATTATAATTTATACCAAGTATAATAGTATTGGAGAGCAGTAATAAGTCGATCTTTTGCTTGCAAAAAGGTGAGACAGATAAGTGCATTCGACTCTATATATGATCTTTCCAGTAATGAAGAAATTTCTACCGTTGGAAAATATTTTTGCAATTCCACAATTTAATATCATCTGTACTGCTGTTGAATGTCCTTGTTTATGAGTTATTTTCAATAACTTACGTTTTGCCGAACGCTGAACTATTTGAACAAGATCAACTGAAATATTAGGTAAAGAACGCTTTGATTCGTTCTCGACTTCGGCAAATAAAATTTCTAGAGTATCGCCGGGGCAATAAGCGATTCTGTCAATTTGACCAGAAATCAACAGTTTCCCATAAGGGTAGCATAGAAAGGAGAGTCGTTTTTCGATTTCAAGTAAATTAGTCATCATCTAGAAAAATAGAAGATAAGAAATTATGTAATCTTCATTCAGTTAATGTAACGCATAAAATCAATTTTAATATTACTCTATAAATTATTTCAGATAAATTTTAGCATATCACTACGATACACTTTTTGTCACGCAGTTACAGAGGAAATGATTTCAATTCAAATAGTACAATATATTATAGAACATATTGAGATTCATGATATACCATTAGGGATATATGCATTTCTGTATATTACAGTATCAATGGCTAAGTCTGTTAAAGCTTTATTAAGGTCATGGCAGACAACTCTTAGATCCAATGATCTTGAGAAAGCAATGATCATGAAGTACTGCTAAATCTGATGCGATAGCCGACCGTAGATATTGTATAAATCTCCATAGAGCTGTTAATAACCCATCTAAGATATTAGCTATTTTGAAAACTCCTGATTTCTTAATTTGATGGTAGCTGATATAACGTCAATACATTTTGAGATTGAGCATTCATACACAATTAAAAACGGGAAAGGATCAAATCTAAGCAAGGTAGTAGTTAAACCATTAAATTATGTTTAGCAATTTCGATTTCTTCAGTCGGCTAGCCTTGTCTCGGTATAGCGACAGCCTCAGAAATAGATATGCTATCAGAATAGTAAAAATACTTAGAGCTTTTATTATGTGACTAAGCAATTGAGATCCTATCATTGTCATATTTAAATTAAAGAATGTGATACTGATAACTCAAGCGCTAGATTTTCTAGCAATAATAATCAAGAAATTTCCTTCCAATAATATTCACGAAATAATGTAATTTTATTAATATTTAAAGATATTACAAGGCCATATCTGATTTCGTGCCGTAATATGTTTGCACATGTTGTTATGGTGTAATTGGACAAAGGATTTGAAAATTTTTAATCTACCAATCTTTCGCTTATAATATTATTATTGACTTGCACGTGGATGTATACAGTTTTTTATTAGTTTTAAGCCGATTTATGGCAATAAACTTCAAATTTTAATGCACTATTGAAATACTACAGTATATTGAATACTATGTATACGAGAAGTGTAACGAACTAAAAATTTACTGGTATATGCGTGTACTGTTACCTGCTTAATTCAGTGGATGAAATTGGATTGTTAAAAATGCGCTATGTCTTACCTGATATTCAAAAGCGTTACAATCAATATTTTGAAAGTAGGTAAATTTTTCTTTCGCTTTGATAGTAGGTAACCCATCTGCTAAATACAGGTATGACTTAATCATGTAGCGGATATTATTACCTCTGATACCTTCATAGCTTGAAGGCATTCTCTGATTTGGTAATTGAAAACTATAATCATAAGAGTAAACTCCGGGAAGCATAAGATATACATCCACTGAGGAAAGTTCTTTACCTATTAGAAAAACATTAAAATATGGTACGATAAGACTCAAGATTGAATTTTGAGAGTTTAAAGGATGAAGATAGCAAGATCATTATAAAATTAAATGATTTAAAAATTCAGATAAAAATATCGAAGCTGAATGAGTGTCAGGTAAGCAAAGAAAATAACATGAGTAAAATGTTCCTTAGTGAATAGACTAAATCTAATCTTTCCAATAATGATAAAATTTTAGGATACTAGGTATAACTGATAATTGCTTTAACAGTAGCTCTTTAGTAGGTTAACTATTTATTCAATTACTATGTCATAATAAGCGGTGTTTAACTGTTACATTCTTTATACGAATAATTTATTCAATAAACTAGGAAATTCTACAACCTTTGCCTTTTTCTAGAATTGATGAGCTAATGATATCATGAGTACTGCAAATAAATCCTGATTGTTTTGAGTTTCCCTTTTCAATCCTGGTTTTAACACGACCATGTAGACGTATTTTGAAACAACGCAATCGTAAGGGCTTAGAGATTTCTAGTTCTAATATGCCCGATATAGACTCGGCAGAACGATAAATATGTAGTCCATCGTTATTTGTGATTGAAAATTTCTTTACGTCGTGGTTCATGATCGTCGAGAGAGTTCACAGATAAGCACGTATAAATATCATCCTAGTTGCCCACTAGATGCGTTTTCAATAAATTTAATTTAATTTGATCTCTAATTTCAGGGATTGAAATTGGCTCTTTGAATTGTTATGCTTACAACATGAAACTGATTTTAGCGTATTGGTTTTTCGCCAATTTTTCATTTATTTTGATTATTGTTTGCCATATACTGAATTAGCTATCTTATTTTTGGATTCCGCTCTTTAATACCTGTCTCATGATCAAAATGCTAGTAATCATACTTACGCTATCCTAAAAACTAAAATTAGAGATTATAAAAATCAACATATTGTTTCATCTAATTAAATTTAAATATGACGATAATAGCTAAACTTTTGTCGAAATATAATTTAAATCCCTTTTTAAAATAAAATTTGGTCAGAAGCAGTACGTTGTTAAAATAAAACGATTGTCCAAAATTTGTAGTATTGAGAAAATCGCTTATAACACTTTAAGAGTATACTGCTGTCATGATTTATAATTTTGTTAGTCAATTTAGGAAGCAGAAGGAATTAATAGCAAATTTTCATGAATCAGTCCCAATTTGTAGAAGTACATACGTAATTTAACTCAAGTTCACAACAACGAAATCTTGTGTAACTCTCAAGCCTATCTCATTTTTCCAATAATTATTATCAATTTATAAAATCGTGGTCGCGATAAGAATATTATTTAAGTATGGCTAGGCTTTTGGATTTGTAAAATATGACAATACAATTTACATCTCAGAATATTACTACACCTGTCTGGCGATAAGGAAAGATAGTAAACATATTTAGCTGTGGATGATGGAGTATAATAGATTAGTACGAATAACGGCCAGAGTACTCATGCTAGTTTCCTAGTGAGCTAAACACATTATAGCTGCTTCTTGACGATGTTCGCTAAAGCCCCCTGCAACTAGTTATGAGTTGTCGGCGCCTATTAATTCATGTTTTGAGTCCACACTATCGGGGACTTCCTTTTAGAAGTCCCTGACGCCATATTCCTGTCTTAATTACTTATTATTCATTACCTAAGAATCGGTGTAATTTATGCATCTGTTGGAATTCAAGATTAAAATATCAATGAATAACGACCATATGATAAAATACACGCTTGACGCAGAAATACCCAAAAATTTTTTATCGACGGCTTGCTATTTGTAACCAAGTAAGGATACCTGATTGTAAATATCAAGAGCAATTAATAAGTATACTATCTATTTAGTACAGGGCATAAAAAGGGGATTGTATGTAGAACTTAATATTTAGATCGATTCTATAACCTCAACTCAGACTTTGTTAAGGTTACTACCCCTAAATAGCTCTCTCTCATTTAGCTTTTATTGTAATTCTTCAATATAGATTCTTTCAACCAGTTCATCTTTAGATACTCCTCTTATTAAACACAGTAACTACGATAAAGATTAATTGCAATAATTAATGATCTGTGAATCTTATCCAGTGAGCGATAGTATGAATTAAGAATTAAACTGTTATTTACTGTTTAATGCTTATTTAGAACGTTTCTTTACCGAAAGACCACACCATTGATCGATTACAGACAAGTTAAGATACTTGCCTCACTCATTATACTGTAAATTATCTCATTACATTAGATACTTTCATAATAGATGTCATTTAAGAAATTTCAAATGAAATTTTTTAAAGTAAGGCTTGGCTACCAACGATATGAGATACTAGTCAAAAAGCTCAAATTGATAGTATGATCGAAATTGGTACATCAATAGAATAAAGGAAACCCTAATCATTTCGCCTCCTAACTTAAAACAGATTAAATATTACTTAAGATACCATAAGATACCTCTTATAGCCTCTTTTGGTAGTTTACGTATGCTTGTTAATATAAGCCTGAAATACTTTAAGTTAAAACCTAAGTTGGAAATCTGTTTTACATAGTCTACTTCGCTAAAAAATTGGAATATCAATCAAGTAACCCAGTAAGGCTTATAATGCGACTAGAAGGCCAATGTCCCTTTTATTTACCGTATTACCAAAGTTAATATAAGTATAGCTGCTTATACGCGGATACCTAATTTTCAGCTCACTGTAGTAATAAAAGAAATTACCAAATATCTGCGCTTGCTGCAATATTTTAATTCACCTTTACTTCTAGAGAAATCTTTTGAAATTTGATCGTGGTCTTACTAATAACTTTGTAAAAAGAGCAAAGTAGAAAAGAATCTCAAAATTTGTGATGAATTAGATGAACTGATGTTTCTCTAGCCATTTAAATCTTTCAGAAGCTTAACACCTCGCTTATTGCGCTAAAAAGAAATTAATGAAACGATTAAGTTATTCGAACTGCCTAGCTCAAATATTCTTCTGCAGTAGCTGAAAATGGTATTTAAAGCCTTATTCTCATTAATGCAAACAGCGAAATTTGCACGTTATTGTTTAAAAGAGAATACTAACTTACCAGAACACCTAACGATGGAAGAATTCCTCAATAATTAGAGCCGTACCGTTAGTAGATATCGGGAAGATAGTTCTGACGATAGACTTGTATTGCGCAATTTTATTCGAATTTTGTAAATTCCTAGACACATAATTCGATTTCTTATAGTTTATCAGTCATATATCACAGGAGTATAACAAAACTGAACTTTAGCTATTGAAAAATAAGCCAATTTATAAAGAAACCCCATAATTACTAATTAATTATAAGTAAATTGATAGTGCTATAAAACTATGTCAAATATCGCATCTTAAGCGCTACTAAAAATTTTCTGAATAAGTTACATACGATAACTATACATACCTACAGAACCTCTAAATTTGTAATACTATGCCAAAATTTGATGCCGATACAGGAATTGAAACATTGATTGTAATGTTTGTAAGGGCAGAATTATCATTCTTTCCGATTACTTTTACTATTTCTTACATAACTCAGTAGATAACTAAGAATATCGTCTACGAAAATTGCAGTAAAAGCTTCTTCTCTTAATGATTGAGAAAATCCAAACAGGTGAATAATTACTTAGCAATTTCATTATAGCTTTCTATATGAGAATAATATTAACTAATTAGAGCTTTAAACCTGAACATGTAACTTAATTAAAAACAGACGTGGCTTAATTAATATTTTGGCAGATATTAATAATCAATGAGCATATATAATAGGGATGGAATGAATAAAAATTATATCTTTGTTATTATACAGAAATAAATTTCTAACAACTGCGGTGCTTATTTATCGTGCAAGTAGCATCCGAATACCTTAAATTTTATTAGGAATTTTAATTGATGCCAGTAATTATATATTAGATTAGATTTTAACACCTAATGCTTCATTTGAAGTAGTTTTCCTCCTTGCTTTAGTATTTATTAAGTAATTTGATATCAACCTTTAATCTTAAAATGGGTGATAGCAAAATCAATAACAAATACTTGACTGTCTTACAGGGTGAAATATTTAGTACAATATTTTGCTGGATGGTTGGCATAATTGGTTGTTCTGCAAACGCCTACGTAATTTATGCTACCTCTAAATGATTATTTTCTAAGCTGGGTAATGACATGGGAAGAATTCATGCTTTACTTATTGGCAACTTAGCAATTGCCGACATTTGTGGCGGATTTTACTTAATTATCATTGCAATTGGCGATCTTCACTCTCGAAATCAAAATTCCTATCATTTTGAGAATATTTTGTGTTCAAATAATTCCTCATGTAGTCCAAAAATACATAATCGCTGGATATTCAGCGTATCATGTTCAGTTGCTCGCTTTTTGGGTCTTTTTACTTTGCATTTACCAGCTTTTCTCACATTACTAATGGCTATTGATCGTTATTTTTGCATTGTTAAGCCTTACAGTACATATCAAATCACTCTTACAAAGGCTACTATAATTGTTGCCTTGCTGTATGTTTATGCTCTGTCGATAGTTATTCTAGTTATGATTCGCTCTGAGAATAAACTAGATCCATATGAAACTGACTCTTTTTTTAATTTATGCTTGTACACTAATTTCTCCGATCGACTTTCATCGCGGTTACTTATGTTGGTTTTGGCATATATATACTTAGTTATTGCTCTTCGATGATTTTTTATGCTTTAATTGCAGCTTCTATTAGACGAAGTAGGCGCCGGTTTACTACGAATGCAAAACCTTCGTTATTTCGCAGAATAAATTTAGAAAAACGAATCAGTTTAATGACTGGAATACTGGCTTTAGCAAATTTGTTGAGCTGGCTACCTGCGCTCGTATATACTATTTTGGAACTTTCAAATGCTCCTTTCACTGATACTTCTATCGGAGACAGATTAGGTATAGTAGTTTATTTATTTCTGTTTATTAATTCAGCGGTTAATCCAACTATTTATATAATAATGACGTCGCAGCAATTGATACAATATTGTAGTAGTGCTAACGCTCGTCAAGACTTTCGACGCTCGTCGAAGTCTAATAATCAAGAGGCCTAAGCAATCCCTCCCTACTGTTAAAAGTAATCATGATACTGAATAACTTATAAATAATCAGTATTAATACTAAATTGGTTAGGTTTATTATGTGGAATCTGTGATCATCGTTTAATTTCCAACTCTATATACTATTTAAGCAATAAATACTGAAATGTACCTTTGTTGAAAAAATTAATTTTTTTTAAACAATGCTGTACTAAAGTCCTATCTTTTGAAAGTTCCTACCAAAACGTTGATAGTCTGCTTCCTATCCAATTAAGCAATACCATTTTGGTGTGATTATGCGAAAATTTTTAAGTTTATTTTGATATTTTGAACAACCGAGGTAGGTTTAAATTCTTGATTATTTCAAATTTAAGAAGTCATAAAGCTACAGTTGTGAAGAAATTTTACAGGATATCTATCTTTGATAAACTGAAAATTTCTGTCCAAATAATCCTCCAGTGGAATTTTATCCTAATGGTTACAGTACAATATGAACTTAATTTAATTCAAATATGCTTGCATTATATAGGTAGCTGTACTTCT